AGAGGCATCAAAATTATTTTCATGTCAAATTTGTAATAAACTGCTTGCGTGTCATCCTTTGTTTTCAAAGTGTCCGACCAGGTATGACTGAAAACGGCACCTCGCTTTGATAGGAATCCTTTTGTTGTTACTTTTTACTTGACCTGATAACATCTTAGGGACGGACCATTAGACTTTTGATGCGGGGGGGGTGTTGGGTGATGGGTGATGGGTGATGGGTGATGGGTGATGGGTGATGGGTGATGGGTGATGGGTGATGGGTGATGGGTGATGGGTGATGGGTGATGGGTGATGGGTGATGGGTGATGGGTGATGGGTGATGGGTGATGGGTGATGGGTGATGGGTGATGGGTGATGGGTGATGGGTGATGGGTGATGGGTGATGGGTGATGGGTGATGGGTGATGGGTGATGGGTGATGGGTGATGGGTGATGGGTGATGGGTGATGGGTGATGGGTGATGGGTGATGGGTGGGGTGATGGGTGATGGGTGATGGGTGATGGGTGATGGGTGATGGGTGATGGGTGATGGGTGATGGGTGATGGGTGATGGGTGATGGGTGATGGGTGATGGGTGATGGGTGATGGGTGATGGGTGATGGGTGATGGGTGATGGGTGATGGGTGATGGGTGATGGGTGATGGGTGATGGGTGATGGGGGGTGGGGTGATGGGTGATGGGTGATGGGTGATGGGTGATGGGTGATGGGTGATGGGTGATGGGTGATGGGTGATGGGTGATGGGTGATGGGTGATGGGTGATGGGTGATGGGTGATGGGTGATGGGTGATGGGTGATGGGTGATGGGTGATGGGTGATGGGTGATGGGTGATGGGTGATGGGTGATGGGTGATGGGTGATGGGTGATGGGTGATGGGTGATGGGTGATGGGTGATGGGTGATGGGTGATGGGTGATGGGTGATGGGTGATGGGTGATGGGTGATGGGTGATGGGTGATGGGTGATGGGTGATGGGTGATGGGTGATGGGTGATGGGTGATGGGTGATGGGTGATGGGGGATGGGTGATGGGTGATGGGTGATGGGTGATGGGTGATGGGTGATGGGTGATGGGTGATGGGTGATGGGTGATGGGTGATGGGTGATGGGTGATGGGTGATGGGTGATGGGTGATGGGTGATGGGTGATGGGTGATGGGTGATGGGTGATGGGTGATGGGTGATGGGTGATGGGTGATGGGTGATGGGTGATGGGTGATGGGTGATGGGTGATGGGTGATGGGTGATGGGTGATGGGTGATGGGTGATGGGTGATGGGTGATGGGTGATGGGTGATGGGTGATGGGTGATGGGTGATGGGTGATGGGTGATGGGTGATGGGTGATGGGTGATGGGTGATGGGTGATGGGTGATGGGTGATGGGTGATGGGTGATGGGTGATGGGTGATGGGTGATGGGTGTTGGGTGTTGGGTGTTGGGTGTTGGGTGTTGGGTGTTGGGTGTTGGGTGTTGGGTGTTGGGTGTTGGGTGTTGGGTGTTGGGTGGGTGTTGGGTGTTGGGTGTTGGGTGTTGGGTGTTGGGTGTTGGGTGTTGGGTGTTGGGTGTTGGGTGTTGGGTGTTGGGTGTTGGGTGTTGGGTGTTGGGTGTTGGGTGTTGGGTGTTGGGTGTTGGGTGTTGGGTGTTGGGGGTGTTGGGTGTTGGGTGTTGGGTGTTGGGTGTTGGGTGTTGGGTGTTGGGTGTTGGGTGTTGGGTGTTGGGTGTTGGGTGTTGGGTGTTGGGTGTTGGGTGTTGGGTGTTGGGTGGCTCAATGGAAGAAAACACATAGTGCAATTGGCAAAAGACCCCCCCCCCCCTGCATCAAAAATCTAATGGTCCATTATTCATTATTCCAAAATGGGTTTCGTACCGGAACGAAATGAATTTCATACCGCGTTTACATGCAAGATAATTTAGCTTGTAAAAACAAGTATTTACGTCCTTTTTCTATGCTTCCCTCGCTCCTAAAGAGGATTCATACAGATATGAGTGTCGTACCGCGTTTACTTTATACAGATACAAAAGGTCGTCCAGAATAAGTGTTTCATTCTGGAATTAAAACCTCGATAAACTCATTCAGAAATGACTCGTTTCGAATAATTTTACTGTGGTATCATTTGGCAACCGGGATGAACTCGTTCTTGAACAAAACTCATTCCGATATCATGTAAAGGCCCCTAAGAGTTTTTATTCCCATTGTATCACGCTTTTCTCTCCTGCCAGAACACTATAAATTTCAATAGCGTTGAAGCAATAGCCCGCTTTGAACTGCTACACTGCTACTGAAACAACGATTAGTGACCACAAAAGTAACATATTGTAATATTGTCAATTCAACATAAACAAAAATCTTCATATAGGGTAAATATACATTTGTGTTGGTGTCAATTATTGCGTGGCCAGCTTCTAATATGAATGGGATAGGGGAAAACATAACGTAAAACCTGGGCTTCCGACAAAAAGTAATACCCAAGCGTAATATAATAACCGAAACAGTTTACTGGTCTTATAAAATCAGAAACAAACAAGGTAAGAGTTTTTACAAATTGTAGTGATTTATGCCTCGATATGCCAGTAGTGACAAGTAGGAACACTATGTATATTTCATAGTCGCAAACAAGTAAATTTTGCCGGACTTTGAGTTCGTCTCACGATAGAACAACACAAATATACAAGGAGATTTTTACAGTAACTTTATAACCATCCTTTTGCCTTTCAAAAGCTAGAAGCTCAGTAGACTCTGTCATGTTGAGAGTGAAGACCAAGCTATGAGAGAAAGAGCAAGGGAAAGGATAATAGAAAATCAAGATCGGATTGATGCTCTTGAGAATGAGAGAGGAGAACTTGATTAAGGCGTTTCACTAAGAGCGAGAGTGAGAAAAATATTCAAGAAATACGGTTTCACAGTTTCAGCAAACATTTAAACAATGGTTGGAGTGATTGTGAGCGCATTGACATCGTCGGTTCAATAGTCGGCTTCATTTTCAAGACGACTGGACCAGTGAACAACTTTCATGATCAAAATGCATGGCTTCTGACAATGGGAGTCTGATCTCATCTCCAAATTAAAAAATTTGTTGACTCCCAGCTTCATTTAGCAGTCGCCTTCTTCAGGCTGTTATTATACCCAACTGTATTCTGAGTGTTAAGAAGAAGATTGGGGGCATAAACCAAGTGCCTGGTGGGACTGCAAGATCAGGCCTGACTTATGAATCATCAATCGCAAGCTCAAACCTCTGAACCCTCTTTGAGATTTCTGGCTTTCTGATTGCATGCTCAACCAATACGAGAAACTCACGTTGAGCTTCCTTAGCGCTTCCTGGTGAACCCAAGATTGATGATTTGACATTGACTTGAGAAACAAGAATGCAATTAACGAATGCCTCAATTGACTGATTCAGTCTCTTCATCCGGACTTGCGTTAGACCTTGGTTGTCCTTTTTGATGAAATAAATCAGTTTGCCTTTGACGGCTTTCCCCCCCTCATCGCTGAACTTGTCATCACCAAGATAAGAGTTTGACGTTGCTGATGGTCCAAGATTTGTGACATAAATGAAAAGCGATCCGAGACCGTGATTATCACCTTTTTTCAAGCGGAAGTCTGTATCTGATGAAATCTCAAATTCTGCACATATTCGTTTGAACGATGGCGTGTCATTATTATTTATCTGACTGAGCGTTAGGTCACCTGGAAGAGCCGATTCACTCTAAATTCCACCCATCCCAAAGAGAATCCCTTTGATGGTGAAGTAGATGTGAAACATCTGACACGACTAGATCTGTTCTGGAACCTTGTCAAATACTACAGGAGATATTCCACAGTCTGTTGTTGCCCTCCATACTAGGAAGTTGAGCTGCTGCGGCCAGTGGCTCATATTTGGCCTTGCAAGCCAACCCTTATCTGAATATTCCTCCGAATTTTGCATTGAAGTATTGGGATGGGGTAACAAAGATCTTGATCTCTTCATTCAAGCGGCCGACAGAATTCTTGTTAAATGGAACTACTAGCACCTCCTTCTTTCCTATTCGATTCAGAGTGAGTTCAAGGAGAAAACCTCCAATACCAAATGCCTTTTCCACATCATCATCCCAATATCTCCTGTCTGATCCTGAGACGCTCGAATGAACTCCATCTGATCGATTAAAGTAAATTTCAGCTGTTGCCTGTCGTTTAACATCAGACGACACTTGCGCACTAAACTTACTCAAGTCTTCCTTTGGGTATCGTGCTTTGAAATCATTCCAGGCTTTTTTCCTTGCTTTATCCGCAAATTTATTCGCTTCCATCATCTGTTCTGAGCCACTCAAGCACTTTTATTGCTTTTATTATCAAAATAATTGTATTGACAATTATTGCAGATTCAAATGATTACACTTTTCACTTCAAAGAACCTCTTGGGGGCAGTAACGAAAAATATCAACATATCAGGCTTGTGAGCTTTTCTATTTTCAACATTTGGTTTACTTTGAAGCAAACTGGAGAAATCTCTGTATTCAATGCCCAGGGCACTGCAACTGTGAAGAGAATTTCAGAAGGTAATTATTCACTTAACAGCCTTGACAAAGCTCTTCAAGATACATTAAAGGGTGGAGGAGTATAGGTGAAATTAATACTTTAAAGGAGTTTTAGAAATCCATAATCCACAAAATAAGCAATGATCTGGCTGATCTTCTCGGAATTAAACGACTTTTGCAAACCATCAATTCCATCAAAAAGTTTAAATAATTTACCAACTAGCATGTCCACTGTGATATTTTGGATAAGAATGAAAACATTTCCAATAGAAAGCCCTCAAGCGTTCTCGGATACTTCGACATTGTAGGGCACCCCTTTGATAGGGTTAGCCATTATTCAGAAATACCAACCAAACGAAAAACATCACCGAGGAATTACATCTCATTTATGTAAATTGTCCGCTGAACTGGAATAAGCACTTTGTGCCAGGGGCCACAAAGCGGCCCAAGTGGTCCCTGTCTCAATGGACTTTTATCCTTCTATCCTGGTGGATGCAGGAGGCTCTTCAAACCAAGCCTTTGGCTAGGCCCCGAAGAGGCAAGGGCCGCTTCGTGGCCCTAAGTAGCTCATATTTCTGGTTGAAAAAGATTTGTGATTGCCAGGAGGAACTTGAGAAGGAGATTTCTCAATATCAGGAGGTCGCAAAAAAAATACAGGAGAGTTAAGGCTGCCTTTCACACAACATCTTGATTCATTTCAGTCACGACAGATCTTTTGTCGACGGGTAGTTTTGCAAGTGTCCTGACTGGAGTTGGAATTGTTGTGAGTGTGTATCTTACAGGTATTGCTGGTCTTCTTGGCTTCATGTCTGCCACAGGGACAGCCGCGAGCAAAAAGCTCATCAAAAAGGCTGAAAAACACGAGAAAACTGTCTCTCTAGCTGAAGCAAAACATCGTTCAATTTCCAGACTCGTCTCAACAGCCTGTCAAGGCGGTTCGATATCAGATGGTGAATTCGCTTCGATAATGAGTGAGGTCAAGCAATATTATGATTTGAAGGCCAAAGTCATAAAATATGATTTACTAAATACTGTAGAGAAAGTTCAGGATGCAACTCTCAGAGGCGAGATAAAAAAGGAGTTTCATAGAAAATTAGACTCTCTGCTGACAATAGACAGAGTTGAGAATTGAATTTGAAAGAAAATTTGATGGCTTTTCGCTGTTTATATCTAGACAAAAAATAATAAATTAGCAATTTTTCAATAATACATCAACAAAAATCAAAAATTACATATTTACTTGGTTACGGCAGTCCTGCAAAACCAAAAAGATAAAAAAATTACACGCGGCTCACCAAGAGAGAACTGCAAGAATCCCTTGGCATTGAGAATGTTGATAATGAGATCAGATCAAAGACATACACTTCCATCAAAGACTCGGATGCCAAACAATTCACATTCATAAGCAATAGATTTCTTCAGGATAAGCAGCAGTCGCCTTGCTGAAGGAATAAAAAATAAGTGATTAACTGTTGATGCCATTGAGTACTCATTTGAAAGATGCTGAAATTTTGGTGTTCAAAAAATATTTTTTCCTTTTTATTTTGTCTGATGAAACTCCAAAGACTTTCAACGTCAAGAATCATTTACCAAATAGTTTCTATTAATTTGTCACACCCAGAATTTTTTCTTATCCGATCTGCTCTTGACAAAAGGCCTATCATTGGCTGTTGCATAATTGATAGAGGAAGAATTTGATCTTTCAAAATCTTTTACCGCTTCCTTCATAGTGTCATATGCTTTGCAAAACCCTGTTTCATCACTTAATTCAACCTTCCATCTCTTGTCCAAAGGACGATAGCCGAGCATTGCTTTAAATTCTTTGCTTGGAATCTTGTTCTGTATTTTACTCCACAGCCTTTAGAAACAGGTTCCAGAAATTGATGCTCCACTTCTAACACCAACAAGATATGTCCTTGTCAAGCCGTAAATTAATGTATCTGAACAACAAAGAAGGAATTAAATAAGTGAAATCGAGGAGATGCTTGATTAAGGAATAGGTCGAGGGCAACTGAAAAAGTTATCCCAAAAATAAAAATATCAATTCCAGAAGAAGGCGAGCGAGAAAGAAAAATCAGAGAAATCAAAGAGATTAATATGAAAAGTATTCAACTCAGAATTAGTCAAACAGTAAGCACATTGAAAGGTTTCGCGAGGCAATTTAGAATTGAGCGTGTTGAAGATCCTTCGGATCCAGGTGGCGGAGCGGCAGGTTTTGGACCAAGAGAATTTATGAAAAGAGCAAAACCTGAGGTCTTGAGAGGCTAATGAGGGAGAAGGATAAGACTCATGATGATTTTCAATTGTTAAATGGTTAGAGAAGAATGATTTAATGAGAATGTTGAACTTCTGATCTTCATTTCCAGAGCTTACAAATTGAAAATCTTGAGGCAACAAATGAATCTAGAGAATTTGACAGTTCAATGAAAACCATTGAAGAAAGAATTCAGACTCTTAATCAAAGAGGAAACAACTGGATATTTCAAAGAGTGATATCTCTTGACACCCATTTTGCAGGAAACAGACCGTTAAGCGGCAGCTCTTACATCAAACTCCCAGAGTTCGTCGTAATAAAGAAGGCAGTTATGAACATGGAGAATAAAGATGAATATGCGCTTCAAGTAGGCAGTGACAAGAGCACTTTATCCGGTTGAGAAAAATCTTATAACGATCACAAAACTCCCTAGAGCACAATCTGAGCAGCTTAATTGGAGTAATATCAACTTTCCTATGAAGCTGACCAATGTCAGCAGCTTTGAAAAGCAGAATGAAAACATTGCAGTAAACGTGCTTAGTTACGAACGTAATTTTTATCCGTTGAGGATTAACAAAGGGAAAAAAATACACATATCAATCTTCCTCTCATATCAGATATACACGACTGCCTGATAAAAAGCATCAGCTGACTGCTATCTATTCAAATTTCCAAGGATGAGGAAGCAGAAGAGTATTGCCTTAGATGTTTGAACCACCTCTCAAGCAAAGAAAACTTGCACTTCATCAGGAGTTTCGTTCAAGAAATGAGGCAGCCTGGATCGAGATGCCAGATAAGGGCAGTGTAATCAAATTCAAGAATCATAACCGCTCAATATGAGTACCCTTCGTTTTTTTGCTGACTTTGAGGCTTGTATTAAACTAACGAGTGGTTGTGAGCTGAGAAGCGATAAGAGTTTCACTTTTCAGTATCAAAAGCATAAACCATGTGGGTGCGGCTCTCACATTGTTTGCTTCGATAAGCTTTATTCTGAAGAGTCAGTCATCAAGAGGGTAAAGAGTGAGGATGACGATGTTGCTCAGATCTTCCTTGAAATATTCATAAAGAATTCGACTTCAAAAAGAAGATGGTGTTAAGCGATAAATACTAGAGTGATTTTTAACAAGCAATGTACCGCTGGATTTGCAAGCGTTCATTTAACTTGATAAAGTGAGAGACCACTAACATTTTACAGGGAGGTATCATGGAATAGCTCACTACATATGCACCCAACAATATCACTCCTATTATCTTTCACAACTTGGGTGGTTGTGACTCTCATCTGTTCGTTAGGAATCTCGGTGAGACTGAAGGAAACATCGAATGCATTCCCAATAACGAGGGAAAGTACATCAGCTTCAGCAAATATGTCGTTGTTGGCTCTTTCATCAACAAAGAAGGTAAAGAAGTTGACATCATGAATGAGCTTCGCTTTATCGACAGCTTCAATTTCATAAATTCTTCTCTCGAAAAAGTGGTTAGCAATTTGAGTCTTGATAAGTTGAGGGAAACTGAGAAGGTATTCAAGGACAAGATCAAATTTGTCTCAAGAAAGGGTGTTTACCCTTATGACTACATAGATAGTATCACTAATTTTAATGAAAAAGAACTACTGCCAAAAAAATTGTTCTACTCAAAGCTGAATAACTGTGATATATTTGATGATCACGAGCACGCAAAAAATGTCTGGAATGAGTTCAGAATGAAGATGATAAGTGATTGTCATGATTATTTTCTAAAATCAGACGTTCTCCTTTGGAGACGTGTTCGAAGAGTTCAGATACATTTTTAATGAGTGTTATGAGCTTGAGCCTGCCTGGTATTTCACCGCTCCTGGATTGGCTCGGGATACTGCATTGACGGTGACAAACGCTGTGCTTGAGCCATTGAGAGATCCAGACATGCTTCTGATGATTGAAAAAAGGAATTCGTGGAGGAATCTCAATGATTTCAAATCGCTTTCCACAGGAAAATAATCCATATTTGGGTTAAGCTTATAATGAAAAAAAGCCAACGAAATATATCATCTATTTAATGTAAACAATCTTTATGGCAATGTGCCAGCCTTTTCCTGAAAGAGGTTTCAATTGGATGTCTGACTTTGACAACTGGAGAGATATTCCTTGCATTCTTGAAGTAGATCTTGAGTATTCAAAAGAGCTTCATGACTTGCATAATGACTATCTGCTTGCTCCTGAGGCTTATGATCAATAAAGTAGAGAAGCTGATTCCTAATCTGAATGATAAGGAGAAGTATGTCGTACATCAAATAGAAGTATGACTTCCACTACATCTAAATCAAAAAGAAGTATGAAGATCGTGCAAAGCTTCTATTCAGACACTAACAGTCTTGCTTATGAGATTGCAACTGAAAACTGCTACAAGGATATAAGCGGTGACGTTGAAGATAAGTTTGAAGCAAGCAATTACACAGAAAATCACGTTTCAGGATCTCAACTGGCCGCAACACGAAGGTCGTGGGAATGATGATAGATGAAGCTGGCGGAAAGATCACTGAAGAGTTCGTTGGACTGAAAGCAAAACTCTACAGCTACAAGATTCTTGAGGGAAAAGAGGAGAAGCATTATAAAGGGATAAAGAAGGCTATAATAAAGAAGAATATAATTCACGACGAATATAGGGAATGCTTATTCAGCGGAAACATGGAAATGAGGAAAGTGAATGCAATCAGATCACACAAGCATGAGGTATTCATGGAGACCATCAAAAAGGTAGCTTTGAGTGCTAATGATGATAAGAGAATAATAATAGAAGAAGAGATATCAAATTTTGCTCATGGTCACTATCAATTAAATCAATGAAAAACATGAATCATGATAACGTTCTATCCAATTCATTAATAGTCGAGCCTACACATTCAGGAAAGACAGGATACCTAGTCAATCTCTCAGCCACCACCTCTCAAGGAGAGTTTAATTACATCATATTCCTCTGTCCAACATTTATCCACAACGAGACATGATAATTTCGGAAAAAATAATACGGACTTACTTATTTTGACTCGACTTCAAGACAAGATTGATGATTGGCTTAAGATTATCAGTCATGTGTACGAGGGAACAAATACATTGACCATTCTTAATGACTGCGCTGCTTTAAGAGATGTAAAGCAGAGGACAAGTGAAATCGTACATTAAGCATTTTGCGCAAGGCATAGAGGAATTAGCGTTTAGATAATCACACAACAGATGACAAGTATCGCGAGGGCATTCAGAGAAATAATCGCTGCAGAGATCATTTTCGAGAATTAGGCAGGTGAGTTGACAAATAATAAAAAGAAAGAATTGATAGCAAAGCATATGAGAAGTATTCACATCTCATATGTTCACTTCGCCATCCCTTAAGCATTGATTTGAAATCTAAGATATAAAATGGATATGAATGAAAAAGAAGCAATCATAAAATGTTATGAGTATTCTCGAAGCTGAACCCTCAAGTTATTCAGATCACTGAGAGCAGCTCGCTGTTCTCGTTGCAAATGGTAAAGCAAATGAAATGATTGGTGTATCTCTCACCCAGGATCAAGTCAAGAGGCTTTCTGAACGAGATGTTGAGAAGCACTTCAAGAGATATGAAGTTTCATTATCTTCAAAGACTTGCAATGCAATGGTTGATACATTTCTTCAGCTTTCATGTAAATCATTGGCTCATTTTCTTCCCCTCGATGAAGGAAAACTTCTAAGGGGTTTGAATGACAACTTCATGGTAAAGAGAGAACTCGGAATGATTACAGGTGGATTAAATTCTTATCATGAGGCTTGAGAACTTGTGTAAGTGCTTGACAAGAGTTTAGAATTATGTATTAACAAAGAAATGGATGGTAAAGAACCTAATAATAAAGAAGCACTGGCTCATCAAGTGACATTAACCGATTAAAATAAGACGAAACCAAATAAAGACCCAAGCCGCGTAGCAGCTGGTAAAAAAACTTTTTGAACACACAGAAGAGTGAGAGAGGAAAAGGAGAAGAAAGGATATTTAAAGCAATTTGAAGGATTACAACTAGAAGCGGAACCAGAACCATCATCATCATTGTCACTTACCCGCTCAAATTCTTTCAGCAGCAAGTGTCGTTCTCTCACTAGTTGGACTGTACTATAAAAGAAAAGAGTTGATGGCTCTCGTTAATACACCAAAAAAAACAGCCTAACCAACAAAACCACAAATTCCTGTATGAATAAAGTCAATGGATTGATTGGTTTTGTTCGCCACGAGAAAAGGTTTGATAATATGCTTGTAAAAACATTGACTGATTCAGCTACATTGACTGGATTAGCTGCTGGAGTTGGATGGGCTGCAAAGAACGTCAGAACCGATGACTTCTGATCCGAGTTCAAATCTCGTGAACTAGATGAAGTTTACTTTCGTGATTGCTGCATCAATTACAACGAAAAGGTATCTTGAAGAACAAAAGATTTTACAACCTTGATGAATGCAACCAAGTTAACAGCAGCCTGCGCAATCATAGACACTGTATTGATAGTCTATATCAACGAGATAGAAGAAGAACTTCATTTCTTTTCGACCATAATAAAATGGAAAGAAAACTTTCAAGAGTTTATTATAGCCCTAAAGGCTTTTGGAAGGGATTGCCTGCTGTGAAGAAGTTGGCTAAAGAAGCCAGAGTGTCTGCAGATAATGAAAGGCTTTGACTGATGAAGCCGGCCATCTGGCAGATTTATTTGGTAGCCCTGAAGCATATCTAGAGACCAACTTTTAATGTTGAATCTCCAAATGTAGTTCAGCAAGCTGATCTTCTTTTCCTTCCTCATGACGAGGCGACTTCAGGGGTCCAGAAAGTCGAAAAGTATGCATGGACAGTTGCAAGCAGATTTCAGGGTGCTGAACCTCTCACTCACACTCACTTGTCTCAAAGGCTCTTGAGACAATCTATAAGCGAGGACAATTGTGATGGCCGAAAGTTCTTCAGGTTGATCCTGGGCGTGAATTCATGGCTGATGTCACAAGAGAGATGGCAAAGCATGATGTGAGGATAAGAAGTGGGAATGGGAACGTTCATAGGGATCAGGGAATCATTGAGCGATTCAATCGAACTTTAGGTTAATGCCTCTTCACTTTCCAATACAGTCGAGAGATAAACTTCAAAGAGAAAAAGAGATCAACAGAATGGATGAAAAGGCTTCTTAAACTTGTTTCAGCTTTGAATGGTGAAGTGACCAGGTTGACAAGAAAAAACCTATAGATGTAATCAAAGAGAATGTGGTTGACGCGAAGAGTTCAACCACTTATTCAAGACCTATTGGTTGAAAGGGAAGAGACTTGACTCTTCAAAACATTGCGAGATATCTCTATGCCGCTGATGAGCTGGAAGGTGGTCAAAGAAGAACAACAGATCCAATCTAGTCTCGGAAGGTCTACAATATCGAGAGAACACTTGTGAATGAAGGCGACCCTGTTCTCCACCATCTGAAAGATGGAGGAAAGCGTGGTTTCGTCAGAGAAGAGCTTCAGATTGTTCCTCCTTGAACTGAGTTGGCTCCTGAAAGAGCTCTTTGATTCGAAAAAAAACTATGAAAAATAGTTTCGCATTAGACCCAAGCAATCCTGGTAAATCAATTCAAGAAACTGATAAACATATGAACAGCAAAAAGATCGTCAATCTTGCCAATCCAACTGACCAACAAGACACAGTAACCAAGAAGTATGTTGATGAAAAATAGAAACAATTTATTTATTCACATCCCCTCAGAAGTTTTCTTGTTGAAACATGCTGGTATCACACAGAACACATGCTGGAGTCACACAGACCACACCTCAAGCCGTGAAATATATCATCAAAATAAATTTTGTGTCACTGCTTATGATCAATAAATTAGTTATAAAAAGCGGGTTCTGGCGCATTTCGTGTCCTCATAAATTTTATCTTGATTTCAAGGCAACTCATGAGGTTTACCTCAAAAATCAAGGTTGATTTTAATCTTGATTTCATAGAACACTTCTGGTGCATTTTGAAAACAGCCTTGATTTCAAGGCAACTCATGAATTTTACCTTAATTTCAAGTCAACCTCGATTTTAAAAAACAGTTCTGACACATTTTCAAAACAACCTTGATTTCAAGGCAACTTGAATTTTTCACAGGTTCACAATGTCTCACTTGCGAGTTCTGAAGAGAGTGTGAAAATTATTCTCTTGAACGATGGGGGTGTTGATTCATGTTTTTCAAATCAACGAATTCCTTCATGAGGTAGCTCAGTTCCAAGGGGAACAATCTTAAGCTCTTCTCTAACAAAACCACGCCTTGGTCAATCTTTCAGATAGAACAGAACAGGCTCGCCTTTATTGACAAGTGATTTTTCGATATTTTAGACCTTTAGAGACCAGATTGGATCTCTGGCTCTTCTTTGACCTCCTTTTATCTCACCGGCGGCATTCTTTGTGTCAACTACCTTCTCTTGGATTGCATCCACAGGTTTCTTTCCAGTCAATCTTGTCTTTTCACTATTCAAAGCCAATACAACTTCTGGAAGCTTCTTTACCCATTCAGTTGATATCTTTACCTCTTTGAAGTTCATCTCTTGACTGTATTGGAAGGTAAAGGGGCGCCCACCCAAAGTTCCATTGAATCGCTTGATGATTCCCTGGTCCCTGTGAACGTTTACATTCCCTCTTCTTGTCCTCACATCACGCTGTGCCATTTCTCTTGTGACACCAACCATGAATTCACGCCCAGGATCAAACTGAACAATTTTTGGCCATCTCAATGGTCCACGCTTACAGATTGTCTGAAAAGCCTTTGAGACCTCAGAGAAATCCTTCGAGATGAGAGGTTGAGCAGCCTTGAATCTGCTTGCAACATCAACAACTGTCAGTGCGTACTTGTAGACTTTCTTACCTTTCGGAAGCCTGTCATGAGGAAGGAAAAGAAGATCAGCTTGATGAACGGCATTTGGAGATTCAACATCAGATGTTGGTCCTGGGATATGCTTCGGGGCAGCAAAGAAATCCGCCAGATGGCTTGCCTCATCAGCCAAAGCGTCCTCGGATACTTCAGCTTCTTGAGCCAACGTCTTTATAGCTGGCAATCCCTTCCAAAAGCCTCAGGTGGCTGTAGTAGATTCTTGAACGTGTTCTTTCCATTTTACTTTGTGTTCACAAGAAACGACTAGTGGCCAATCCCAAAGCCAAAGCCGTTCCTCTGACGTAGATCATTTCAGCTTGCTTTTGTTGAACACTTGGTTTGTGGAGGACAGAAAGTTTTGGTTCCCTCAGATCAAGTTCTCGATTATGCACCTTGTTGTAAAGCTTTAAAGCATAAACTGTGTCCACAAAATTCTGTTTTGCCTGCTCCTTAACTCTGTCATTAGTTACGATCCAATCGAGGAGCTCTGTTCGATTCTCCTGATACTTTTCATAGGCCATTAATGGTTTTGCGATACTTGTTATCTGTTATGTGAGGACCCAAGTGCTGATTCTTTAATGTCTTGCACTGAAAACTTAATTCACATGTGCGTTCGTTCTCTGCTTCACATCTCTCGAGGCAGCGCAATCATCGAGAACGATCAGTGTATTAGTTCCCTCATACACATAACTGATAATCTTTAGCCAATCATCAATCTGACCTTGGAGTGCAGTTAGGATAAGTAGGTCCCTCTCATTTTCTGCAAAACCGTCATATTTCTTGTTGTTGAGGAATGTTGGACAGAGGAGCACGATGTAGTCAAACTCTCCTCGAAAGGTGGTGCTCAAGAGATTGACCAGGTATTTTGTCTTTCCTGAGTTTGTTGGTCTAACTGTTAATGCATGAATGTGATGTTATCAGGATTCATATCTTTTTATTGTGTTAATTCATGGTAACCGTGAGCAAAAGTTGATGTCTTATCTTCTCTTGTTATTCTCTGATCATCTTCTCTTGTTATTCTCTGATCATCTTCTCTTGTTATTCTCTGATCATCATTTGCACTCAAAGTTATCTTGTTGATGGTCTCAGTGAATACCTCATACCCATGTGATCTGATTACATTCATTTTTCCTCTGAATAAGCACCACGAGGTGAGGTGCAAGCTTTTCTTTGCTTGAGAAGTGGCTGAGACACCTGAGGTAATACTCTTTTACTTTCGTATCCTTTGAGGCTTGAATCGATAGTTGCCTGCCCATGTTGTTTATCAGGCAGTAGTGTTTCTTTTTGTCATCTGTTAGCCTTCGACTGGGATGTTTACCGCCTAACAGAAGGTTTATGACGTGCTTCCTATTTTCCTCTTTGCTAATCCTCAACAGATAAATTGAGACCTCGCTGTGGGCTTGAGCGTTTACTACGGTCTTTTCATTCTGCCTTTCAAACTTGCTTATATAGGGATACTAATACCACTACAGTCAAGGTGCTTAGACTGTGCTCTAAGGATCTTTGTTACTCTTTAAGTGTCTTTCTCAACCATGTTAAGCGCTCTTGTGATGCACCACTTGAATCACTGATTATCCGCATTTTTAATGAGAGATGTCATTCTTTGAAATATCTAGTTGCTACCTCTTTGATTAAAAATTCTGAATTCTTTCTTGAATGGTGTCTATTGAAGTGCCAAATTCTTCAGATTCGTCAGTTGCTTCGAGATTTACGATCACGTTGCTTTGAAAACGAGAGGCACATCATTTACACACAAAAAAAGAGAAACTTATTCACAAAAGATTAACAGCTACGAAAGACAAAAGGCTAAATTGTGGATGGGATAGATAAGAGTAAGAGCTTGAAAAAAAACAAACAAACAAACAAACAAAAAGTACAGCGTCTAACAAAAATTGGTTTTCAGAGGCTTAAGATCAGCATAAGGAGAGTAAGATATAACCTGCGAGCAGGCTCACATTTGGAGCCCGCCCGCATACTATATAGTGCATGAAGTATTTTGTCCCACTTCTGTTGAAATTTATTCTGTGAATCAGTCACGATAGATATTTTTTTTCAATTTCTAAATTATATTTCAGCTGTTGCGTATATTCTCTGGTAGATGGAAATATGTTCTTAAATTTACAGCAATAAATTAATACCTTGCGAGGAGCAAACAATGCCTTACTAAATTATCATATTTCTCTCCTCTAAAACCTAAAACTGCATATTCGTTTGAACGATGGCGTGTCATAATTATCATTTATCTAGCTGAAAGTTGGGTCACCTAATAGAGCCGATTCACTCTGAACTCCACCCATCTTAAAAAGAATCCTTCTGACTGTGAAGTAGATGTGAAACATCAGAAACGACTTGATCTGTTCTGGAACCTTATCGAGAATTTCGCGAGATATCCCACAGCTTGTCGTTGCACGCCATACTGCGAAGTTGAGCTGTTGTGGCCAGTAGCTCATATTCGGTCCTGCGAGCCATCGCTTTGATTCTGCATCTGAAGAGTGCTGAATTTTCGCATAAAAATTTTTTAAGAAAATAACTGAAATTCTTTTGACAGGTCAGAAACATTTTGAACCAAAGTTCATTGGAACGAAACAGGTTGAAGAAAATAAATGGAAAAATTCGACGCGTCAGAAACAAGTTTAAGAAAATAAATGGAAATTGTTTCTGACGCGTCAGAAAAATTTTTGAAGAAAATAGATGAGAAAAATTTCGGACGCGTCAGAAAAATTTTTGAAGAAACATTTTAATATTATTCACACTTTCTTCAGGACTCGCGAGTGAGACATCATTCGCCTGTGAAAAAATTCAAGTTGCCTTGAAATCAAGGTTGCTTTGAAAATGTGTCAGAACTGTTTTTTTAAAATCAAGGTAAAATTCCTTGATTTCAAAGAAACTTGAATTTGTGTGGGGGAATAAAAAAAGTTGGAGATCGTTTTCACGAAGGACTGCACTCAAACTGTCCTACTCATCTCATTGATAAAGACACAATTTGTGACAGAAGAACAAATCAGGGTACACCACGACTTCTTTGCGAGAAAAGATACAGCATTGATATTTCAAAATCTTCACACAAACAATCAACACCCTATCAGCGATGTCAGCGATGTCGATAGCGTGGCAAAAGGATCGCTTAATATTATAATATTCACACCCTCTTCACAATTGTTACGGGAAAATTTGCTGATTCTTCCGTGTGTTTGTTTGGGACATTTATTCGTAAACTTTCCATATTTAATCATTCGAGTTCTTTCAAGTTCCTTTATCCTAGTGAGTAAAAAAAAAAATATGTGTAAAAAGCCACAGCAGTTTTTGAGTAGTACACTAAGAGATTTCTGCTTCGTTGCTTGCTTTCATTGTACACCTGTATGTCGGTACTTTAATTGTTCATTACTAGTGAAATTTGAGGTAAATATAAGTGTTAATGGTCTTTCTGGAAAAATTGGTTCTCATGATAGTTGGCAGCTGAGTTTGTACCCGTAATTTTAATTTCCTTTCATACGATAGTTTCTACACCAACCTTGCATAGATAAGCAGAAACTTTTAATTACTTTTCCACTTTCATTTCCTAAGCTGCGCTACTGTAATTAAGATAGGTATATTCTTAATATCAGAGCTGTGAATTCTCACCTGACTTTCCTATTTTTAATGGCGTTAAGTTTTTTTATCCGTCCTTTTAACTTTGAGATTCTTTTCGTTGTAGAGACAGATGGAATATCTTTTTAAATAAAGCTACTTTTAAGTAGCTTTCGTTTGACTTCAAAGAAACATTTTCAGCTTCTTCTGTTATACTGTTAAAATATGGTAGATTTAGAGAACAATGGAATCTCACACCAGTAAGCAAGTACTTTGTAAAACTTTTTCGATTACATACACGACGGCGTGCCGATCACTAGTTTAGCTGTTACTCTGGCATGATGTATGTTAGAGTGCTTTTCGAATAACGTTTGCTGTGGAACCAAACGCTGTCTCATCCTTGACGTCCGTATAAGCTCGCTCGAAGTAGATCTACGTGTACCATGGAATCGTGACGAGTTTCCGTTCTCGCAAGCCGAGTGGTCTCTACCGAGTTAGTTTTCCCCGTTTTGTACGTTTCCCGCGAAGTCTAGATTGGTGCGCGAAAACCTATTGTCACACAATGTCTCACTGGTGAGACATTGTAAAAAAGGATGTGAATATTATCATCTTGACAAATTTAAATTGTCCTTGGAATTAACGTTGATTTGACTGAAAACGTGCAAGAACTGTTTTTTTTAAATCAACCTTGATTTCAAGTCTACCTTGATTTCAATGTTAAATTTATGAGGCCTCTAAAATCAAGGTTGATTTCAAAATATGCCAGAACCGGCGTTTTATAACTACTTCATAAATCTCAATGCTTTCAGATGCAAGCATTGTTCTTTCACTGGCTGGACTCTGCTAGAAAAGGAAAGAAGTGATGTCTCTTGTTGATAAACCAAAACCACAGCCTCAACCAACACCACCACAGATTCCTGTGAGATTAAAAGCAGTGAATTGATTTTTTTTGTTTGCCAAATAAAACAAATGTCTGTTTTTAAGCATGTGAAAACACTGACTGATTTAGCGACCTTAACTGGACTGGCTGCTGGAATCGGATGGATTGCGGTTAAAGTTATCAAGGAATCGATGACTTCTGATCCGAGTTCAAATCTCATCTGCTAAGTTCACTCTCGCAATCGCTGCACCAATCGCAACAAAACCGTATCTCTAAAAACAGAAGATTTTATCTACTCAATATGTTCAGCCGATTCACAATGAATACAATTAAGTTCGCAGGAGTCTGCGTAATCATTGAGTCTGCCCTCACATTCTATATCATAAGCTTTGTCAAAAGGTTCACGATGAATACTTGTGAGCTGTTCTCGAAAACAAAGAAAAGCATTTCGTGGAAAAGGTTGTGGTTATTCATCGTGGTGAATAACAATAAAAGCTAAGTTTTTCGTTTGTCTCACGATGTAGTCACGTGTGATGTAGATCGCGACGTTTCGACTGCATACTGTCAGTCTTCTTCAGGCGATGAGGTCGACTGGTCATGCGTGATCTTATAAAGCATGGTGCTCTGCTGTGATTAGTTGTTTTTCAACAGCTCTGATTGGTGCATTTGCATCGAAATGCATGTTGAAAAGCAAAGAAAAGCATGTTGAAGATTCATGAAATGGCAAGCATTGCAAAAAATGTTTGGAGGAACTATAATAAACGCGACTGCCTTTGTTGGAGGAAGCTATCTCGCAAAGTATTTGAGTGGACACCAGAAATGTTTAAGAGGAGAAGAGGCATGATCTCGCTGTGGAGAAACATCAAGCGGCTTATGAAAAGTATCAAGAACAAAACTACTCGATTGGATTGCAGCTAATGACCGACTCAAGGATGAGGCAAAACAGTATTTTACTGATACAGATTATGCTTTGAAGCTGCACAGCAAGGTGCATAATCAAGAGCTTGATCTTAGACAGCCACTTTTTTCCGACTTCTACAAGCTGCATTTAAGAAGTCGGCTTAGGAAGGAGTGTTTGAAACAAGCAATATGACAGATTTATTTGCCTGCCCCAGAGAATATCTCAAGACCAACTTTTGATGTGTAATTCCCAAATTCAGTTCATCAAGCTGATCTCCTTTCCTCATGACAAAAAGGAAAATCTGTAAGTATGCATTGACAGAGCTTTTCCGACAATTTATAAGCGAAGACTGTAAAATTTGACCAATTCCCGGCTAGCAGTTGAATGTAACGCAGGAACTGATTATGCGATGGCCCTATGCGCTAGTCAGCAGATTCAACCTAAAGTTAACACGAATGGATGGAAGGGGTGATGGAGGGATGGAAACAACTCGGGAAATGGCTTTAGTAACAGTTTGTTACATAATCCATGACTGTCAAAGACTTGCTTTCAGTCTCTAATCTCAAACTAATCTAATAAGACATACAGAGGCCTTAACTCAATGAAGAATTAAGATACTCAATTTAAACATCAACGCTCGCCCTGATCAACTTCAATGATTTCATTTATTCCATTTGACTACAACTTTTTTGATTGAAATAACAGCACCCATCACAATTTTACTGTAACAAAGTCTATCTGCATTACATATAAAACAGGTCTGCCAATTATGGCCTCTTAAAATAATCAAACAATGTTGTCAAACCTGCAAAAGGTTTTGTATGTCTGATTCTTGTGTTTTTTTTTTTTCTTTTTTTTTTCGCGCTTGAATAGTATTTACCACGGAAATCGTGGGTCACTGATAAAAATTGCCAACAATTGTTTGGTCCGTTATGTGCTGTAACTATGCCATTTACAAATTTCTGACATTGGGGAAAAAAGGAGAAAATGTAAGAAAAAAATGTTACTGTTCTCAGTAAAACCACCTTTCATATTATGGAAAAATCCAAAAGGTTATAACTACTGAAAGTAATCATAGGCTACAGTCTACACGTAGCTAGAGTCATTCGTAATGAAACTCCGGTATAATAACGCTAGCAGTTGGCACAAACACCGAATACTAATGTACATTATATTAACGGACTACAGTTCAGAAAGACTACATGGAAGCAAAGCTAAGCAAGTTGGGTTTTATACAAATCTTCAATGTTGTTTGCTAATTGTCTTGCTTTTTCGCGAATGAATCCTTCACCCAAGACAAGAAACTGAAGATCGATCTGTTGAATAAATTAAAATCCAATCACCACAAGCTCGTTAAAACGAACAAACAAAACAAAACCAAAAAGGAAGCGGTATTGATAACCAAAGTTCGGACACATTTGGTGATGTAAGGCACTTAAATGTTCTTTTCTTTTTGTGATAACAACGGTTTTGAGGAAGTGATGAGGGAAAACGAAAACGATTAAAGAAGTATATTAAACAGGCATTTTGTTCTTTTCATGTTTCTAAAGGGAAGAGGAACTCTTCTCAAATACCTTAAGATCATTTTGAAGTAGTAAAGGTCGCGAGGGTTTCAGCATCTGTGCCTGGGTCACACTCTAAAGTGACTACAGATTGTGAGATGAAATTAAGACCACATATGTGCCTTTCGGCTGGTTAATGTGGCTGGAGAGTAAAATTAACGTATTTTCTGAAGTACAATTACCGAGACTAGACAAACCTGGAAGAGCTCCCGCCAAGCTTCCAGCAGAGCACGTTCAAACTTTGCTAGTTCATACTCCGTTTTAAACCAAATAAACCAAGAGGACTCTGTAGAGGTGATTTCACTGTGTTCGAACTCCTTAAAGGTGCAAAACAAAATGCGATGGTTTAGAGGTTACACATAGTGACATAAAGTGCTCACTCGACCGTGACGGTAACCAACTTCCATAGCACACAGGAGCCTGCTCAAACAGGGGTTTCAATAACTTATTTCACAAGCGGCTGTCGATAATGTGATAGGTGTAGCTATGCCCGGAAAAGGGGCCGTTAACACGAGGGTCTGCTCGCTGGCTCTACAGAAGGCAGTAAGAGGTCTTATGGGCGGCGGTAGACCGCCGGTAACCGGCTTTTATTGAAACCCCTATTTGATTTGAGTGTTCATTCAGATTTGCAAAGCTATGAGGCTTATGGTTACGTGAAGAGATACTAAATAAAACTTAGCGATATCAACAATCAACTCAGACACAGTACACGGAAAAATCTCAGAAAAATAAATTCTTCCATAATACATTGATCTTCGCAGAAGAAGCTTTTATCGTCACCAGACACTAACAAACGTTTTTCTAGCCATTTGACTAGTTCTGAATTCGTAGTTCATTAATTTAAGGCTGATGAACACACAAATAAAAATTGGAAAAATCTGCTTCAGGGCCTAAAATAAGATAACGTGTCGGGAAACGGAAAAAGGATCGACTAACAGGTGACTTAGGCCCACCTACCAAAATACAATAGTTCCTGACATCATTGTCCACAAATAGCCTTGTCACACTTTGTACAGAACATTCACTAAGCAGCTGAAACGTTTCTTCTCTAGTTGGATTAGGGAGACACGCCAAAATCTTAAAAGTGACGTAGACAAATAAGGCATTATTTTGAATATGTAGAAAAGATATGCCATGATAAGTGACTTCATTTTTACTTCAAAGGAGAGCTTGCCACAAAAATCATAAAACCTTCAAATTACCCCTTTACAAAGCATGTGAAACTAATTGTGCTACGTAGTTAAAAATCTAAAATCTATTATCAAATGAGCTTAAAAGTGGGACTTTCTCGCGTCAAAATTAAACTGAACGGTCACGTTGCTAAACTGAAACTAGCGACATGCGCACCCATTTTTCTAGCACATTTAAAAACAATTTTGGGAACGATGATTTTAGATATATGAAATTCATATATTTGCACTGCGGTAAAGAATTGAAATTAAGAGATCCTCGCAGCTAAGAACACTACTGAAACGTACAGAACATGATCATCAAAATCATCATTCATCACTTGGATGGTTTATTTGACCCAACACATTGACCAGCTCCCAGTTGGCTTGTTAGCTCAATTGGTAGAGCGCTGCATCGGTATCGCAGAGGTCATGGGTTTAAATCCTGTACGGGCCTGAATTTTTTTCAGGTACTATTTTCAACTACTCGTTTCAGTAGTGTTCTTAGCTGCGAGGATCTCTTCATTTCATCAATTTTGGGAACGTTAGATGCCTCTTTGGAATGCCAAAACACGGCAAGTGTCAAAACTCCAAATTAACTTTTTAACGACGAAGCATGCAAACATCTTTAATCCCAATCCATTGATCACCTGCTTGATATCGGTTAAGTGTGGGCATTTTTGCAAACCCTTTAATTTTCTTAAATCAATGTCCCCAGTTCCGAACAGACTATCAGACAGGCCTGGCCATAACAAAGTATTACCTACTTTGACATTAGTGAGGATAAGACAAGAAGGCACGCATTTCATAACTGTAGGGCTCATTTCCTCAACGCTTTCAGACTACGAAACAAAACACCAATTGATGAGGCGAAACAAGGATAAAGTAAGATGTAAGACATATTTTCAAAATAATTACTTCATCCGTTTAGCGCTATTTGGTTGGAACTGAAAATTCTGCGTTCCACCTTTGTCTGATGTTGCTGTAGCGGTAAAACCCTCTAGAGCAACAAATTGACAAATAGCAATAAAAACAAACAAATAAACAGAAACAGTAAGAAGATTTGTGATATGTCTCTACCGTATCAGCAGTAGCTTGACAAATCCTAAATATCCAATCAGCAGATTCATCCTCGCTATAGGCTGCAAGGACAAGAAGGGATGAGCCATCCTCTGATACAACCTACAACGTGACAACCCAACAAAGTTACACATGCTCATTGAGGAAAAAAATTCAGCAAAGTTACTGCTGTTTACCTCAAAGGCATAAGGGCGGTCAGCATCATCAACTCTTCGGCAACCTCCACATCGGGATCCTCTAAAATGTAAATATTCATACAAAAATGTAACTATACTTAAATGTAAATAGTTAGACTGAAATGTAAATATGCCTAAATGTAAATATTTATACCTTAAAGAATGAAAACTTAAATTGACTTCCAAAATTGAACAAACAAATTTCTAAGCTGCGAAAAATCTTCACCTCAGCTCTACAATAACTTTACATTCTTCATCACCCTATACAAAACAAACAGAGAACCAATTTAAAAAATGTTTCCAAAAAATTATCACAGTAAGTTAGTTTTCTTTAAATATAATAATTAAAACCGCTACTTCACTATAAACAGTAAGGTCGAGAACTTCTCTCTTAGGCGAGAGTCATAAATTATAAATAAACCCCGTTGTATATATGCACTTATTGCAATAAAATTTTCCACAAATTCATTTACATTAACGAGAGTGTACTACTGTTGTGTATTTGTTAAATAGCTTCTGCCGAAATCCTGCGACTCAAGATATGTGTCACTTATTACCATTTTTCTTTCCATCTTAATAAAACTAACAAAGTAAGTTACGATTTTTTTTTAGCCTTAACCCGCTCTCATTTCCAAATACTTACTAGCCTCTGGGTTAAAAAAAAATAGGCGTGGCATTCACCATCTAACAAAACTCAGCTCATTAAACAACCTCACCTTCTTCACATATTGATACAGGGATCCATTCCTACAGCAAGAACAAAATACGATTTCAAGTTAATCTAAACATTCCAAATGCCATCATATGTTCTAACTAATATATACTTACATTAACACAAAATAGCTGGTGGTCCATTTGTAGGATCTTAAATACTGTGCTTGCTTACAGTCCATGTAACCTTCTTTAACGCCTGAAACATGTAATACATATTGAAGTTATTCGATTACATGCCGCCCTTGAATAAACGCCGCATCATCCTGCGGAGTTTATTCGATCACATTTAGAAATTTTGAGTGAACCAGACACAAATCCTTTTGACGTACCAGTTCTGATGTCGAGAAAGCATATCCGACATAAGATCTTGCACAACTTGTGCAATTGAGAACAGTATAAAAAGTGACACTTTAGACAACCATCAAAACATGTTTCTGTTTTTTTTTTTAATTTAACGGGCAATTACCATACTTTTTTTTGCAAATAATAAGTTGGATTTTCATTAAACGCCGCCCTCGTATAAACACCGACCTTGAATCACGAAAAATTTAATAAACGCCGCGGCGTTTAATCGAATGAATACGGTATAAAAATGAAACAATGAATGAATGACTGAGTGACTGACTTCACTTGACCACGCTTAAATAATATGCAAAGGGAGTAAGATCGCGAATTCCAATGAAGTGAAATCAGAAAGTTATTTTCAAACATGAAAACCATGATGTCGATGAGCGTGACCGTTAATCTAATAATCTTTCCAAATCTTGAACGCAGCTAACTAGCAGTTAAAGCCACGTCAACAATTATAACGCCAGATTAGTGAAGCGAAATGTAAATGTTTAAACTTTTAATGGGGGCTTTGCTTATCAAAACAATACCTGAATAACTTTCGAATTTCTTTTACGGTTTAAGCAAAATTAATCTATCGTGTAATAAAGCAAAGCGAAAAACAACAAAAAAACGAAAAACTGATTTTGAAGACTTGAAATATGGCTTCCCAAATTCCGAGAAGGTCACGTCCAGTTACATATAAGTATCATTTTTAGAGTTGATATACCTTTAAACTTTGGTTAAAATAAATTGGAAGTGAGAAAAAAAATAACAATTCGAAGAATGTTAGTAATCAAGGGCGAGCCCTCTTCACCAGGGTCTAACATCACTGATCGCATCTGGGAAGAAATAAACATCTGTCTAAATCTACTGTGGCAATCACGGCAAGTGTTGCCGTTTAGTTATCGACTCTTAATTCTAATATACAGTACACGTACTTTTGTGACTGAGAACTTCAATGCTGGAATCCGGTCCGGTTAGTCCACACCAGTGAATAAAAGTAAAACACCTGATGTCCACACTGGACGACTGCAACCACAACAGTGACACAGTGTAAAGGTCACGCCAAAGGCCATCTCATTTGAACACGTGATAAAAACTAGATCACATTTCTTTTAATTTTGGAAGTTATGTTTCTATAGGTAATAGTTACCATTGATTTACAAACACAAACTCGAAGCCTAGAAAATAAAAAAAATTCATCACACTACGCTGTCTGTAGAAACTCTTATCCTCAAGATACTAGAAGAATCACTGTGTAAATCAGCCCACACATTATCCCATTAACAAAATTCACAATCAAGATCGTTATAATTCATGGTTTTTATACTGATGAGTCCCTTTGTTTTGAAAGAATTATAACGACTTATACAATTGATTTTGACAATTTGCCCTCCAGTAGAGCCGGGTTTGTACCATGTGTTTAACCTGCGAAGAACTTCTTCAATCTGCTAACTAATCTCTAATCTATGAAGGAATACGCCATTAATATAACATATTTCTTGCTATTCCTCCTGAGTTACTGTAGAAGTGTCCGGCATCTATACTAAGACTAGTGAAATAATGAAATAAATGTAATAAGTTCTATCCACCGTTGGCTCTCCTGGAATAAGATTCATTCCAACTTTTACCTGGAGGTTTTCAAGTTCAGAGATCCACTTCTTTAATGAAACTTCTTGCTCAAATGAGGAAGTAGAAATAATCTTTGTGAGCAGGGATCCATGGCCTGATTTGAGTATCATACTGGTCAATGATGAAAGAAAATCCCTATCCAAAAAAAGGCAACAGTTGCATCATCACTTTGCACAGTTAAACTCTTTATTATAGGAAATTGACTCTTCATGAAATTAACACTGCATGTAATTAACGTATATTTTAAAACTTTGCATTACCTGTTGTAAGCGTAAACCTGTTCGTCTCAATTGAAGAGGCACGGTACTTTCCGTGGCCCAAAATCCTATTATTTTTGCTCCAAATTCCTTGCACCCTCTAAGATTTGGCGATCGGCAGACAAGATTTCTTTCCGTAAGAAAGCCGACACACAGAGAGCATAAAAAACGCCTGAGGTGATCACATTGCTTGCCATGACAGGGACACTTAGCGAAAATTCTGAAACAGTCTATCACGAATTTGTCCAGATGATATGGACCTCAACTAATGTCTCAAATAGGGATCTATAAAGCCTTAAGTGGCTTTCAGGTTGAGCATGTTGGCCTGGAACAGATATGTTGGCACATGTATCTCCCGTGAAAATACATTAATTTTCTTTAACGTTCTTCAAGTTTTCTGCTGTACTGTGAACATTTTGAAAGCTCAAACATTACTGCAGCTTAAACATTTTGGGACAGTTTTGATTTTTTTAGTACGAATTTAAGATTGTTCAAATTTCTTGCCAGTATTGCATAAAAATGGTAGGAATAAGGCTTCTTCAAAACCATACCTTGTAACAGCCTCATCTGCTATAAATAAGAAAATTTTTCGAGATTTGGATACCAGAGTAACTGTTTGACAGTTCAGACCAACCTGAAAGGTATTATGAAGGGAAGCAAAATGATCTCTTAACAAAATAACGATATAAATTGATAGCCATAACTAAAAAAGTCCTCCAAACCACGCTTTATCACATGCACAAGGTATATAACCATGATCAAGTCAATCAAAATTTCAGTGCCATTTTGAGAATCTTAAAATATCAATTTCTTTATTGTAGGAAAATTGTATTTTTTGCGTGAAACTACACAAAATGGTCTGCAATGTAAATTGTAATTTGAGAGTACCTCTACTTTCTTCAGAGTTGTAAATGGTAATGCTGATTGAACTTGAAAGCCCTTTCCATTGTGGGATGGTGCTAAAGATAAAAAATAGCTGATGTTAAAATTCTGCAAAACCAGAGGCACATAAACTAAAATACATCTTGCTTATATGTTTCTTACAGTAGTTAATGCTTTCCAAAGAGACAACACAACTAGGCCAGCCAACTTTTAGGGCAGAATAAGAAGAGACAACAGACTTCAAGTAAATTGAACAAAGAATTGGCAGGAAGGACTGTGTCTGGAATAAATGCTAATGGCAGAATGGGAGAGACTGCGACAGGAATGAAAGCTCTCAAAATAGACTAAGGGAGAGTAGATTTTATGATCTGTAACCGCAATTTAAACATAGGCATGCATAGCATGCAAGAGTTATTTTTTTGGCTGGATGGATTGAGATGGGACAGTTAGTGTACTTAATATTTTCATTTTTGTCGCCGAAAAGAGCATAACTCTCAAAAAGCGAAAATATCGCAGAAAGATAGAAAAAAACCCTAATTTATCTGAATTCGCACAGATATTAGCGGAGCTCGCAGAGCGTAGCCCCATAATTATACAAAATAGTAGTAACCCATCAAGCCGAAAAAATTTGGGTGTACGACCGTACAAGGTGCTACTTTCAACATGCGTGGTCAACTGTACCGCGGGCACGCCAACGCCACGGCTTTGTTCAGTAGTCCAGTGGTCAGTGCACTGGGCACCGAGTTGGGCAATCCGGGTTCTAGTCCTAGCCGGGGCAAGGCGTTGTGCCCTTAAGACGTGCGGGGAAAAAAAATGCGAGCTCCGCTTTTAGGCGTGGCTAAATCTCTATATTATGTGATATACGGTCTCTATTGTCTAAATACTTCTAAGTTAAAATGAAATGCATCGGTGCTACGCTTATTGTTGTCTCCTTCGCAGCCGTTGTTTGGTCTCGTCACGTAACACCCTCCATTTCCCGTTTGAGAAAGAGCGCGTTGCCTGACGAGATCAAATAACGGTTGCGTTTCTACAGTTAGTTACTTCAAAAATATAATTCCGCGTAATTTTACTACGAAATGCAAACTGAAACTCTGTTGTACTTCTAGTGGACCTTAACTAAAGATATATTGAGATCTCGAATAAGTGAAGGAACTCTGAACAAGAGAAAAGGATTATATTTCAAAAAGGGCTCCTTGATTGGTTGTTGTGTATCTGGACTTTGCTCTCTATGTGTGAAATACGTGATAAAAATTAGGTTGTTTACAAGGAATTAACACGCAATTGGGTTAAGTCCAAGGTAACTAAAAGCGACTTTAATTTGTAGAAAAAGTCAAACACGGGAGATTTGCGTGGAAAAAACTCAATATCAGCATTTAGTTCCTTGTGAATTTTTTCAGTAGGGTCGGACAATGCAGTTAGAATACGTGATGAAATGCGGGTTGTTTACAAGAAATTGACACGTGATAGAGCGAAGTCCGATGCGGCAAAATGGAATTTGATTGGTGAAATACAATTCAAGCACGTGAAAAATTGCCTAATGTTCATGTAGTGCAATGATTGGGCATGTTCTGACCGGACTTGGGACGCTGTTTTCATGGTACGTGATGGAATGTAAGTTGTTTGGCGTGTGCGCTGAGAGTAAAGGAGCGGAAAAAAAAAAAAAACGTTTTAATTTGAAAATTTAAATGCGTACCTTTCATATCCCGATAAAATCTCAACCTTAATCGACGAGGCTCTCGCGAAGGCCACAAACCATTACACTTATCAAATGTGCCCAGTATTTCTGATTAATGTCATTCTTTGTGCATAGCCCCGTGATCCATGACATCATTTACAAGAAAACAATACCCAGACGTGATTGGCGTAAGATATTCAAATGCTATGATATGATTGGTGCGAGATACATACCCTTATGCGGCGATCTGATTAGTACGAGGTACATACCCTTATGCGGCGATCTGATTGGTGCGAGCAACATACTATTCTATACGCTACCACAAAGTTTTTTTTTTTAAAAAAAAAAAAAAAAGTGAACTCACATACTAACAACTTAATATTAGCAAACCTATCTTTTCTTATTCTGGTCACCCTCTACAGTAATCTTAACAATACTACAATAAAGATTAATTTGAAATGTTCTGATTTTTGTTTATTTTCTGCCTTCAGATATACATATAATAAGCATGAATAATCAACACTGCTATCTGAAATGAATATGAAAGCGATCTTCGCAGGTATTGAACACTATTTAAGTAGTGGTGAAAATAAGGCCTCGAAAATTCTAGTTACCAGTTGGCTTGTAAGCTCAGTTGGAAGAGCATTGCACCGGTATTGCAAAGGAAATGGGTTCAAATCTCGTACAGGCCTGAATATTTTAGGCCTTGTGTTCATTTCTGCGAAGATCACTTTCATATTCATTCATTGATCCGCATTTCACATATATGATTTTCTTAGATTCACAGTCACTCTTCAGTTTGTTTTCAATAATAACTTCATATCATTTTGCAGATAATACCTTTGCTTAGAAGATAAACCGCATGATCCGTGAGGAGGAGGTTAATAAAATACAACCGACTACCAGGGAGTCCACACATACACACCAGCATCTGTAACGAAGCAACCGCATTTATGCAATAAGTCGAAATGTAGTCCTAGCCAAGAAGGATGGGTTTGTGGTTAGCATTAAATACTGACTAATCTTTATGAGGATTTCCTTTAAGAACAACTGAGTAAAAGAGTCAGGCAGATTCTATGGATAGTAAAGGTAAAACAAATAAATATATGATTAGATTCTCACCCTGTGAAACTGCTCACTGTTCTTCTCAAACACTTCCAACGACAATAGCAGCATCCTATTCTGATCCACCCTAAACACATATTTCTTTAGTAATGCCACTCAAAACATCACACTGCACCCGCATTAGCACAAACACAAACAATAATCAAAAACTGTGAATATGAAAACCATATGATTATGTGAACTGCCGTTTAAGCAATAAATATGAAAGCAATCTCTGCAGTGCTACTCCAATCTCATTAAGAAGCAGTGAAAATAAGGCTTTAAAAAATTTTGAACCCATGACATCTGCAATATTGGTACAGTATTCTACCAAATGAGCTAACAAGCCAACTGGGAGCTGGTCATTATGTTGGTTCTTAATAAACCCAATAAGTGACGAATACATGATTGTGAATAAATGAAGTCATATATGTGAAAAACCGATTGAAAAAAAGAAATGAAAGTGATCTTCACAGCAATGAAGACTACTTAAGCAGTAATGAAAACAATAAATTTCTACATAAAATATTTTTATATTTAATATTTCACTATTGCTTATGGAGTTTTCATTACTGCAAAGATGACTTTCATATTCACTTCTTAAACTGCAGTTCACATACATGGTTTTCATAGATTCACAGCCATAGATTTATCATTTCATGAGTTTATTACAAACCAAAACAATGACAAGCTCCCAGTTGGCTTGTTAGCTCAGTTGATGAACACTGCATGGGTATTGCAGAGGCCATGGGTTCAAATCATGTACAGGCCTGAATATCAATGTAGTGTTCATAGCCACAAAGATGGCCTCCATATTCACAAACAATAAATGAAGTTAAGTAAACACAACATATTTATAATTATATTATTTATGAATTCATTCATCTACATGTATTTACTTATTCATCTTTCACACATTTTGATTAAAAACCTAAAGTAAATATATGCTTCACAAATCTGAATTCTTGATGGCCGACAGGGGTACACTACTAACCTAGAAAGAAAATTTTTTCATATGATAAGTTGAGCATCTCCTTCCCTTTTCATGTGCTGTAACATCACTAGTTAGTTCAACCATGCCCATTACAAATTTACTCAAGACATTATCAAGCATACCTTACATCACAAGATGTTGTTGGGGTCTGGTGCAGTGAGGGTCGTTTTGGAATGCCTAATATTATCCCTAAGACATAATAGAAGAATTCTGTCATTCAAAGAAAAAATTTACAAAACAGCAACAAGTGTGAGGATATTTACAGCACCTACACCTGTACATAAATTAGACAATGATTCATAACTATCCTTACCATCCTTGAGGGGCTGGTAGAAATTTTGCTTTACCACATCAAGAAAACAGTATACCTCCACAGTGTGTAAATTTGCTACAACCACCACAGCCCTCAAGTCAAAACAATGCCCTCAGGCACAATTATTCTTGATTTGAACCTCCTCCCCCAGAAATGGTATAGAGTGGAAGCACCAATTAGTCAGTGAAAGCAGCCACTCTACAAATAATTATGAGCCACCCACTTAAGACCACTAAACTGAACAATGTAATTGATGTTGATTCAAACATTAAGATGCTCATTTACCTGTGAGGTAAGTGATATCCATTTATTACAATCTCAAATCAAATCAAAGTACAGAAAATATATCAGATATCAGCCTGCAGATATGCATGTGGTAGCCACTGATGGTTTTATTCTTGGCAACTGTCCTAAAATACATGTTAAATTGGCCAACACAAGACTCCACTTTACAACTGTTTATTGGAACATCCCCAATATTGTTTTCCAAAAGCGAATTTGGATGATGTACATATCTTGTATGCAAATTTGTAAAGGAAGCCTAAGACTACCATCAGTTGTGAGGTTGTGTAAATGAGCAAATACAGTTGTCCATACAACTTTTGCACCTTTTTTTTACCTTCATAACTAGGTGAATTATCAGCTTCTGATAATCGTTTTTCAGTTTCTGCTGCTGTTACAGTTTGCAGAAGGCCATCATCACTGAAAACTCCATGCGTTGAATTTTTTTCTGCATCATAGGAGTCTGGCTGTCCACCAGCAGTATTATCACACAACTGAAGAGTGGCACTGTTTAGGGACATTTCACTGGTAACTTTTAAACTAGAGTCAAAGTCTCTACAAAACTGGTCCATAGAATCTGTTGAATGTACACTGTTGGTTGGGCTACAACTTGAGTGGCTATCTTGTGACCTCTGAAATCTTGACATGTGCAGTAAGTCTTCTGAAATCAATCATAGGGAAAGAATATATTTTCTCCCTTAGGATTTTTAGGTTGTGATCTTTTGCTTACCCTATTTGATTTATATGTTATTAAAAATGCAGTTTATTTAAGAAAAAGCAACATCTATGACCCACCTTCACAGGACAGTTCTTCAGGAGCATCTTCACAACCTACAGAGGGCACATCCGGTGGCCATTTATGCATATGGTTGTGACCAGATGAAACATGCTGCACCTCTAGGTAATTTTTTCCTTTGTTCTGTTCTGCATCTACCAATTGATCTATTCTTTGTGTCATTTGCTTTTTGTTTCTGTTATCTATTAGTTCAAACCCCACATCCCCATCTTCTGTAAACTGCTGTATTTGAAAGTGTTTGTTATAGTGGAGCCTGGAAGTAGTTTCTTGTTTATGACCTTCATTGCCAGACTGGTCACAAAACTGAGTCTCATGCTGATCAGTCTGTTGGACATGTACTTTTTGGTCAGATACATTTTCATTTTCTTCCCCATTGATTTCATTTAATCCACTAGAATGATAACTCCTTGGACTCAATGGTGTAGCTATTGTTGATGAGCTTGATAAGCTGCTGCTAACTGTGCTATTGTTGTCATCCCCTTTGATGCCTGAACTGATGCCAACTCCCTCAGCATCTTTACCCATTGTTACAAGTGTCCTCTGACACTTGCCATCCACTAGAACACAAGTAATACTTAATATTGAATTTACATGAAAAATGAGCACACTCTTTAGAGGAACACTCTTAAGAGGACATAATTAAATAACACCACATGACATAATACCATATGTCTTGATATTCATCAATAATTTGGAAAAATATTTCATGAGTAGCGAGATTAAAACATGACCTTCAGCAACATGTCACCATTATCATGTAAAATTATTGTAAGTTCAATGATGTTATATCAAGAAAGGAAGGTGTGTTTGAGTGCCTTATTTACAAGATACTTTTAATAAGGAAAAAGAGACCAACTCTGAACATTAAAAAAGACTCTATTCCAGTGAAACTGTTCATTTAATTATATACATTCTTTTGTTTCACTCTATCTCATTTTTATACTACTGGTAATTTTAATCAGTTTCACACTTTCCTTTCTTCATATTTAACATCACTGAACTTATTAATAATAATTTTACAGAGAAAAATGTCTATCTTTCCCTATTTCTTTACCAAGCTCAAAACTTACCATATCTTATTCTATTTACAAATAATTTTACATTTGAAAGTGGTGACATGTCATCACTGAAAGGTCATGTTTTAATCTTGCTACTTTTAATTATGAAATGATATTCATTAAGAATCATAATGATCATGTCTGCCAATAAATTGCAGTTTCTCACACACACAACAAAAACTATGCACTACATGAGCCTTGGCTGATTCATTTTCTAAAAATCTACCCAGTAGAATACATGTACATGTACATGTAAGCTGAGGCCGAATATTGGGAGAGCAATGGAGAGAAGGTTCTGTTGAGACTCTTCTAAGGTGTCTTTTGAAATTTTCTGCATGTTTTCAGGAATATTTTGGCCTCTTCAGATATGACAGTGACCTATACAAAAAATCCTATGCCCATGACTCAAAAAAAAACTTACAGGTTTATGACATCATCCTTGTTATCATTATCATTATCATGATTTTCATCACTATTGTTATTACTATCACCATCATTGTCATCATTATGGTTACTTTTGTTTAGTATTACCACCATTACAATTACATCTATCATTACCTTCACAATACTGAGTTCCATAACCAAGATAAGGAGATTCCTAACAAAGAGAATAATACATCAAAGTCCAGGAATTCATGCACTACACTACAACTAGTACTTGGAAGGCAAAGGGTTGAGTTCCATTGAAGCCTAAATTTTTTAAGGCTTTCTTTTCAGGCAATTACCTCAGTTACAGCTCATCTTTAAAGACCATTTCTTTACCTGTGGTTCCACACTAAGTTTCCAAACGCTGTTGAGGATGTGGCAACTATTTCACTACCATTTCAATTTGAACATACCCTGCACTTTAAGCATGCTTCTGTATTCTCTTATTGATCTCTATCAACGATACACATACATTTTCAACGATACACATACATTTATCTTTGCCTTACAATATTAAATGAAAAAAGTTTAATGCTTCCTAACATGCAAAGTTCAAGGGTAACAGTACAGCCTAGAGATAGATAGCCAATGCACACACAAAACCTTCACACTTTTTTTGCGTTCTGTGCCAAAAAAAGCATGTGTTTCAGCACATCTTTGGCCCATTTTTACTATTAAACACAGTCAGCTTGCTTTGTTCTGCAATGTTTCAGAAAACAAAGGTTTTGTCTCAAAATGCCACCGCCACAACATCAAATCAACATTTGTATATCTCAACATCTGGGGGATCCAATGGCAGCCATTTCAGTGAAATGTTGAAAGAACTTGACATGATTCCACAAGAATTTCATAAAATAAATTTTTGAAAGTTTTTAAGATGTGAATAATCAACTTGATTCCAGCCTGAGATTGTGACTACTGTGTCTAAAGAATTAGAAATCACTATGAAAGATGTGACTCAATCAAGAAGTTGGATATCGACTTTTGCGTGTACATCTTGCCTACTTTTATTTGGTGCTAAAATATTTCTCTGTTTTCATTTAAATAATTTAATTATTTCCCATGATTCATTTCACATTTAAGTGTCTTCAACAAGATTCTTGTGTCAAAGAGAACTTTAAAGTGCAAATCAACCAAGTTTTGGAAAGCGTGACTTGTAATAAAAGACCTTATCTCCAAATCACTACAACTGTTTATTCTTTGATTTTTGGTGCTTCAACCAAAATAAATTGAAGCAAACAAATGTTAAATCTGAATGTTTTACAAAATATGTAGGTAGGTCTTATAATGCATATAAAAATTTTCCAATGCCAAGAAAAAGCAACTGATGTTATCATCACTCAGAGATTAAAGTGATGGTCAATAATTAACTTAACTTACCTGGTCCAAGACAATTGAGATATAATCAAGACCTGAGACTAAAGTCTGCAATAAAGCAAGTCTCTGTGAAGAATGAAAGATGCCATTATATAAGTCTTACTACGACAAAACAAAACAGTTCAGAGGAGTGGAAAACATGTTACTGCAACTTAAGTAATAAGAAACTGAAAACATGTCTTCTAAATGCATGTTCCAAAGTTATAGGTAATTATTATGCAGTACTTTTTGTAGATTCAGGTTAATTTGGTTGCAAACTGTTAGTTAGAATCAAAGAAAAAATGTCTGCAATTATTCAATTCAACCTTGAAAACACAAGTATAATACACTATTAAAATAGTGCTGAATAACTAACAAAAAGAGAGAAAATTCTATTACCGGTACTATCAGTGACTTCTGAGCAGTTCAACATATTTTTCAGACAAATTGTTCTAATTTCATTTGATACATAAATTAGAAATTTTCATTCTTTCAGACTGTTGCTTTAATCATTTTCATTTAAAAATTAAATACTGAGGTTTTCAGTATCACTAAATTATTATCTTTATTTTAATAAATAGCATAGATTAATGAATACAACAATGCAGTGATAACAACTCCAAAGAAAGTAGAACAGGGTGAATGAAAAAAAATTCTTAAAAAAGTGCATTCCATTTTCATCCTACAACACTGCAATCTCTGAGAAAAACTGATGATCAATACAAAATATAAATATTGTTTTATTACAATGTACTTAAAAAAAAATGTTTTTATGTTGGTAACATTACTGCTATTATTTAGTAAAAAAAAACAAGAGTAAGAGAAGCAAACCTACCTCCTTATCTCGCACAAATGCTTTTCTTAAAAAAGAAAACAAACAAACAAACAGATAGAAAAGAATGGTAAGAGAGCTTGTTAGGGTGATTCCTCAAAAAAAAAAAAAAGATAAATCCTTAGATGTTCCTCACCAATGTCTCTTTTAAAAAGTACAATAAAAAAGATGGGTCACTGAGCTTGTTTAGGAGATATGATGGGCCAAACTTACCATATTTATGCCTATTCTGGCACTAATCATACAACCTAATTTCATTGGTTCCCCATACATTTTGCAGTAGTTGGAAGCAAGGGTTTTTAAAAGTTTTGCTTGAAAAGAACTTGATAAACAGAAATTCTAGAGTATACCAAACAATTTCATATTTAATTGGGAAAAAATTATGCAATTTCAAATGAAATCATCTCAAAATGTTCCTTGAGAGGTTGCTTTCAAGGTCATAACTTGCATCCATGAGTAATGTGCTTCGCACATGCTATTAGCCACATTTTTTTTCCATATGATGAAGTTGTTTCTAATTTCTCCAATTTAAAGGGATTGATTTTTACACCAAAAACATAAATGTACAATAACAAACATTGGTAACTGTGCTATTTCAAGAGCTCAAGACCATCATACTCTCTTTACCAGGTCCATTTATTGGAAAACCAAACCATGTTCTAGGAATGAGGGTGCATATATTCGCCTAACTATGTGATTTTTATCTGCAGCAGAAGATGTGCAATACAATACCGAGGAATCACCTCAACTTGCAAGAGATCATGTTTTTGGTGGTGAGAACAAATAAAACAGTCTAATTAATTAGGGAGCAAGTTAGAGTATGGAAAATTTTGAATTTGTTTTTTAAATAACCACTTTTTTACCATTCAAATAAATCTGTACGTCTAGATTTGGGTATTACTAATAACTCACTTTGTATAAAACCTTTTTGCCAACTTTTGACTATCTACAAATAATCTGATATAGCTCTCCAAAAGGCCATCACCAAATGCTGCAAAAATCCACACTCGACCTAACAAGCAAAGAGGGGAAATAATGCTTATTGTGGTTTTTACTTGAAAATGTTGGCCTACCCAACAGAAAAAGAAGATTCAGAAGCAAAAGCTTAACACCAAGTGGCTAAAAGTTTGTAAGTTTGTAAATTAAGTTTCATGAAACTGACTATTAACAAATTTTCTGTACATAATAACTTCAGGCAAAAAATTTAAGTTGTGTTACCATCACTTTCAATGGCAGTCAAGCTAAAAACAGCCTTCAGTTTGTAACTTAATTTTTCACCCATAAAAAGATTCCTCACATGTTTTATAAATAGTTTTATTTTTGAAATACAACAAGCTATAATTCAATTTCAGCTAAACTAACAGCTAAAATTGAGTACAGCCCTTGTAAATTTGACAAGTTTTGCTACACCAGCTGCTACTGAAATACTTTGGTTCACAGAGTTCTGTTTTGCTTCAAACTAATAGGGTGTAAGTTCAGTTAATTCACAGTTAAAACATCACAACTTGGCATAAAATCCAAAGGATACTGTAACAATATGATTAGCAAAGACCCTTCTTTTCAACCTTTCTTCCCAGTTACTGAAGTAAAGAATTCTCAAAAAACATGCCTAGCTCAGGCTGAAAAAGCAATTAGAGTAAGCTTTTAATTCCATGTACACACCTTTATCTAACTCAGTAGTTACTTGAGGGTGGCTGACAATCTGTCTTACTGTTTCTGAGTGGGTGAGCTCTTTCACAAATGGCCAGTAACCAAATTCAGTTTTCTCCAACCTAATTATTGCCAAACAAGACAAAATACAATGTACTAAGAACTGGAGAGTACTAATTAGAGACCTCACAAAATCAATGATTCACATGTACCTTGGTATTTTTATAGAAGTTTTTGTTAGCTTGCTACACAGATTAAGAAATTTATTATAGGTATCGTTAATTCATGCAAATTTGTAATGCATTTTTTCAGATGTTCTTGCAGATAGGCCACATCCCTGGTTTGATGAAAAAAAAATTGGGGAAAAAAGGTAAATTTTGTTCACTGTTGTTTATGCTAATAAAGATCCAAAAGAAATGCCATGGGTCAAAGAATAGAACAACTAATTTTAATCAAAATTAAGAGATCCTCGCAGCTAAGAACACTATTAATATGAGTAGTTGAAAATAGGACCTGAAAAAAATTCAGGTCTGTACAGGATTTGAACCCATGACCTCTGCAATACCGGTGCACTGCTCTACCAACTGAGTTAACAAGCCAACTGGGAGCTATATATTTGCACTGCGGTGAAGAGATGAAATTAAGAGATCCTCGCAGCTAAGAACACTACTGAAATGAGTAGTTAGCTGCGAGGATCTCTTAAATTTATCTCTTCACTGCAGTGCAAATATATGAAATTCATGTATCTAAAATCTTCATTCATTACTTGGATGGTTTATTTGGACCCAACACATTGACCAGCTCCCAGTTGGCTTGTTAGCTCAGTTGGTAGAGTGCTGCACTGGTATTGCAGAGGTCATGGGTTCAAATCCCGTAAGGGCCTGAATTTTTTTCAGGTGCTATTGTCAACTACTCGTTTCAGTAGTGTTCTTAGCTGTGAGGATCTCTTAATTTCATCTCTTCACCACATATATCATATATTTAAAATCTTCATTAATTTTAATTTGTGCAACAAGCCAGTTTCAAAGCCTTACTGACTTGAGCTTCGGGCTGGATTTCCAACATACAAGTACATTTAATGTATTTTAACCTGCCTGATTCAAACCCTAGCCTCTCATCATATGCTCAACACGGTGAAATAAGGTAACAAGGTAAAAATGTCTGTGGCAGCAATAGATACAATCGAACCCAGGACGTGAAATTAACTTTTTTTTCTGATCGCCACTTGGCTCCTGAATTCTTCAAAGTGGTAGCCAATTCAAAAAAAGTTGGTCGCCATTTTCAAAGACAAACAAAATCTTTCTTTACGCTGTCAGCGTTCTAGATAGACCCTCCAAAATTAAGTTAGGGAAAAGATCTTTAACGTGCTACAAAGTGGACACTAGGGTGTATGATATACAACCTTCAGGCTCATCTAAATCCAAAATGGCGTTTAGTTATCGATCGAGATACATGTGCTACGTTTTGGAAACAAACTAAACAAGGAAGTTTGCCGCGGATTTATCTTTGCAAATTTATTTAATTCACTATATCTCTTGGTAGGGTATGATGAAACGTTGTAGTCGCCAATTTGGCGACTAACTTTCAGGATTTGGTCGCCAAAGTGAAAAATTTAGTCGCATTGGTGCCTGTATTAGGCACAATTTCACGCCCTGGAACCTCGAAAATTTGTAATGCTGTGTAGCTTGTTCATCATGCCTACTACACTGAACAAACTGATTGAGCATGAAATCTCACTTAGCAACAAAGCAACTTTAAGCTAATATGACCTCATTTGAATTTTCCTCATTAATTATGATGTGTGCAAGTACTGCTTTTGCTTTTTGAAAGCAAAACAAACTCACTTTTGCTTCATTTTTCAATGCTGTGGTTTAAAAAGAATGTGGCTATGGATATTCATCATGACTTAAAAATATTCATGACAAAATTGGGATCAGAGAAAAAATCCAGATAATCGAGAAATATGGATAATCAAGGTCTGGATAATCGAGGTTTGGCTGTATTGTAATAAGGCAACAAAGTAAAAATGTATGTGGCAGCAAAACAGGGTGTAATTGGGTAATAAAGGAATAAGGAAAAATGTGTGTGACAGCAATACATGTTGTAAAAAGGTAATAAGGTAAAAATGTATGTGGCAGCAATATATGGTGTAATAAGGTAATGGGAGAAAAATGTATGTGGCAGCAATATATGGTGTAATAAGGTAATGGGAGAAAAATGTATGTGGCAGCAAAACAGGGTGTAAATAGGGAATAAGGTAAAAATGTATGTTGCAGCAATATATGGTTTAATAAGGTAATGGGAGAAAAATGTATGTGGCAGCAAAACAGGGTGTAAATATGGAATAAGGTAAAAATGTATGTGGCAGCAGAACAGGGTGTAAATAGGGAATAAGGTAAAAATGTATGTGGCAGCAGAACAGGGTGTAAATAGGGAATAAGGTAAAAATGTATGTGGCAGCAAAACAGGGTGTAAATAGGGAATAGGGTAAAAATTTATGTGGCAGCAATAAATGGTGTAATAAGGTAATGGGAGAAAAATGTATGTGGCAGCAAAACAGGGTGTAAAAAGGTAATAGGGTAAAAATGTATATTGCAGCAAAACAGGGTGTAAAAAGGTAATAAGGTAAAAATATATGTGGCAGCAAAACAGGGTGTAAAAAGGTAATAAGGTAAAAATGTATGTGGCAGCAAAACAGTGTGTAAAAAGGTAATAAGGTAAAATGTATGCAGCAGCAAAACAGGGTGTAAAAAGGTAATAAGGTAAAAATGTATGTGGCAGCAAAACAGGGTGTAAAAAGGTAAGAAGGTAAAAATGTATGTTGCAGCAAAACAGGGTGTAAAAAGGTAATAAGATAAAAATGTATGTTGCAGCAAAACAGGGTGTAAAAAGGTAATAAGGTAAAAATGTATGTGGCAGCAAAACAGGGTGTAAAAAGGTAATAAGGTAAAAATGTATGTGGCAGCAAAACGGTGTAAAAAGGTAATAAGGTAAAAATGTATGTTGCAGCAAAACAGGGTGTAAAAAGGTAATAAGGTAAAAATGTATGTTGCAGCAAAACAGGGTGTAAAAAGGTAATAAGGTAAAACTGTATGTTGCAGCAAAACAGGGTGTAAAAAGGTAATAAGGTAAAAATGTATGTTGCAGCAAAACAGGGTGTAAAAAGGTAATAAGGTAAAAATGTATGTTGCAGCAAAACAGGGTGTAAAAGGTAATAAGGTAAAAATGTATGCAGCAGCAAAACAGGGTGTAAAAAGGTTATAAGGTAAAAATGTATGTGGCAGCAAAACAGGGTGTAAAAAGGTAAGAAGGTAAAAATGTATGTTGCAGCAAAACAGGGTGTAAAAAGACAAGAAGGTAAAAATGTATGCAGCAGCAAAACAGGGTGTAAAAAGACAAGAAGGTAAAAATGTATGCAGCAGCAAAACAGGGTGTAAAAAGGTAATAAGAAAAAAATGTATGTTGCAGCAAAACAGGGTGTAAAAAGGTAATAAGGCAAAAATGTATGTGGCAACAAAAAGGGTGTAAAAAGGTAATGAGGTAAAAATGTATGTTGCAGCAAAACAGGGTGTAAAAAGGTAATAAGGTAAAAATGTATGCGGCAGCAAAACAGGTGTAAAAAGGTAATGATGTAAAAATGTATGTGGCAACAAACAGGGTGTAAAAAGGTAATAAGGTAAAAATGTATGCGGCAGCAATATATGGTGTAATAAGGTAATGGGAGAAAAATGTATGTGGCAGCAAAACAAGGTGTAAAAGGTAAAAATGTATGTGGCAGCAAAACAGGGTGTAAAAAGGTAATAAGGTAAAAATGTATGTGGCAGCAAAACAGGGTGTAAAAAGGTAATAAGGTAAAAATGTATGTGGCAGCAATATATGGTGTAATAAGGTAATGGGAGAAAAATATATGTTGCAGCAAAACAGGGTGTAAAAAGGTAATAAGGCAAAAATGTATGTGGCAGCAAAACAGGGTGTAAAAAGGTAATACGGTAAAAATATATGTAGCAGCAAAACAGGGTGTAAAAAGGTAATAAGGTAAAAATGTATGTGGGAGCAAAACAGGGTGCAAAAAGGTAATAAGGTAAAAATGTATGTGGCAGCAAAACAGGGTGTAAAAAGGTAATAAGGTAAAAATGTATGTGGCAGCAAAACAGGGTGTAAAAAGGTAATAAGGTAAAAATGTATGTGGCAGCAATATATGGTGTAATAAGGTAATGGGAGAAAAATGTATGTGGCAGCAAAACAGGGTGTAAAAAGGTAATAAGGTAAAAATGTATGTGGCAGCAAAACAGGGTGTAAAAAGGTAATAAGGTAAAAATGTATGTGGCAGCAAAACAGGGTGTGAAAAGGTTATAAGGTAAAAATGTATGTGGTAGTAATACATAATGGTGTAATATGGTAATAGGATAATAAAGTATAAATGTATATGGCAGCAATACACATACATGTATGCTGCCACATACATTTTTTCCTCGTTACCTTATTACCTTATGAAACAATACATAGCATGCCTTGACCAGTCCATAAAAGCACAAAGATTAGCATGCTATGTTTTTGTTTTGGGCAGTTGAAATATAACCTTGCAACTTTTTTACTGTAAGCACTTTGAATAATTTAAACCCCACAGCTACGAATAAGGTGAAAGACAGGAAAGCATTTATTGATCATTGGGAAAGGCACTTTATGCTTTCACATCAATATAGAGCAAGATAACTTTCACCTCTTTGAAATAATTGGCTTACCCATGAAGTAGAAAGTGATCTAAGAGGTCCAACAAGCATTGTAGGTGAATATTGTTCGCAGTGACCTGAAAGTCAGTTTTACCGTCATCTAAGGCTGTTTGATGTCCAAGCTGTAACTATAATCACAAAGTCACACATTACAGTGAAAAGACATATTAAATTTTGTTTAAATAGCAGTACCTGCATTCATCATAATTTGAACTGAAATAAAAGATGGGTTGTAAATTAAATGTCAAATAAAGCCAGCAATCAGTAAGTTAAAACTATTATGAATTAGTAAATACAGATTTCTAGAAATCTAACAGGGCGTGAAATTGCGCCTAATACAGGTGCCAATGCGACTAAATTTTTTACTTTGGCGACCAAATCCTAAAAATTAGTCGCCAAATTGGCGACTAGAATGTTTCATCATAACCTTACCTAGAGATATAGTAAATTAAAAAGATTTGCAAAGATAAATCCGCAGCAAACTTCCTCATTAAGTTTGTTTCCAAAATGCAGCACATGCCTCTCGATCGATAACTAGATTTAGGATGGATTTAGGTGAGCTTGAACGTTGCATATTATCCATTCTATTGTCCACTTTGCAGCAAGTTAAAGATCTTTTCCCTAACTTAATTTCTAGAATGATGACAGCGTAAAAAAAGGGGTTTGTTTGTGTTTGAAAATGGCGACCAACTTTTTTTGAATTGGCTACCACTTTGAAGAATTTAGGAGCCAAGTGGCTATCAGAAAAAAAAATTAATTTCACGCCCTGACTAATATCACTGCAACAACAAACTAGTGATGACAAACGTGTAGACCACAGCAACCAACACTTACTCCCTTTATCTGCTCTGCAATCTGATTAAGAATTTCATCCTTTAGCTGATTGCTTCTTGACGACATCAGTGGCCATTTGATGATTCTATTAAATATTTGAGCCGAAAAATTATTACATGCAGTAATTTATTAATATTATTAGTAATAACCATGACAATAACTATTATTTCTATTGCTGTCTTTCAACCAATAAATTGCATGTTTCATTTGATTTAATAAAGGAACTTTGTTTTGTACAATACAAATGATGACTAACATGTAGAGTACTTCTCCGCCTAAAAAATTGCTACAAAATAGCTTTTTATACCAACCAGTACAACAACTACAATGACCAACCCATATAACAAAGACAAACAAGTTTGAGTTGTTATCTAAAACTAGGATGGGAGCTCCAAGGTTTCTTCTTATAACTTAACACTGTTGATTAGTTAAAACTTAAAATGGAACTAGGTCAGTTTAGTTATCAACACATAAGTATTGAACATCACTTAAGTACTCCACTTAGACACTTAACAAGACTTCTTCAAGTCCACTAGAGTTTTGTTGCATCAAATTCAAACCAAGAGTCTCAAAAAGCAAAATCCTAAGCCAGTCATTCTTCAAACTATTAGCTTTACACTGGTGCCTCTATTCCTTCTACAATGTTGATCAAAATTGAGCTGAGGTCATGAGCTGAATTGCATTGCATTTCAGAACCACCAAGGGAAATTTTTACTGGATCTTTAAGAATCTAATGTCATTTTTCTTTCCTTTTGTCTGTAATTGGTCTACAAAACTTTTCTCACAATCTAAACCAGTCAGAAGTAAACCAGAGCCAAAGGCAACTGGATTAGTTGTGTTTTCCTGAACCTAGTGCAGTTTGCTTGTCTTAACTGAGAGTTCTAATTGGCTAACTATAGATGTTTCCCTTTTCCCTAACTGGCTATAGTGATAATCTTGGTCTTCGTTTTAGGACACACGATAAAAACTGCTCTGCTTGATGCAGTTTTCTGAAGCAATTGCCTTCAAGTCAAGCTAATCAAGTAAAGGGCATGATAAGTGTACTAAAAAACTATAGCCATTGTAGAAAACTGGACTAACTGATCACGTGACAGATAATCTTGTGAGACTGTGAGAAAAACGCTACATTACAATAAATATAAGAATAAATGCAAGGTAAGCTTAAATCTAGTCCCGAATGAGCGTAATAATACAAAGTTAGTTCTACCAAAAGCCTATCAGTAGATGTTGCTACTTACGGAAATATCTCTTCACTTTGTTTTTCACTCTTGAAACTCTCGTTGATGATCAGTAATGGCCGCGGTGAGAAACTAGTATTTCGATACCTTTTGTTGAAATTAGGTGGAATCTTAACAAAACAGCATAGTAACGTTGAACTAATTAAAAAGATCTTCGTGGATTTAACGACGCCTGACCGACCGCCTGACCGTTTCAACTGATCTGTTTGGCCCTCTTAACCAGGATGTGTTCGATGTATCTTAACTATACCGTGGCGTGGTTACCCAGCCACCGGCCGGACGCCTTGCGGAATTGCAGAATGCCTCTCGTAACATGTTTTAAGACGAGTGTAAAGAGTTACGGAAAAGAAATTAAACTTAAGACCTCGCATTTCATTCTACATACCAGCTAAAAAGTGTCAAGAGGATGAATTTGGTAATCAAATGTGAAAAACAAGATGGATGTGAAATACTGCCACATAGACGATGAGGATGGAGAAAAATTGGTGAGATCGTGTAGGATGTGTATATTTAAAGATTCTTTTTTCATAATGGATTGAATACTTAACATGCTCATATATCACGTTGTTGATGCACATGAAGAGTTTGGATAGCACGAGGGCAGTGCAACAAGAATGACCCTAACTTCTTGAATTGCTCTCCAAACTTTCCAAGTACATCCAATAATCGATTTACACACACCTTGATCCAAATCTTCTATAAAATAGTAGCAACAACTTGTGCGCGAAACAAGAGCTCATTTGTGCGCACATATTGATCCTCATGATGCATGTGGAGGGAAAACAAATGATCTTATTGGCTGTCTAAAACATGAAGCATGACATGACTGGAACTTGGCAGCTAAACTGCTCTAGTCACAGACCCACAACTGGGTGGCTCAAATTTGATAGCTAGTCACATTAAGCTACCTGTATTTGCCAGTGCCCAAGCCATTTTGTAAACTGCCTTGTAAAAGGTATATCAATAATTATTCATTCTCTTCAGAATGAACCAGGTTGTCTTCTGAATCCTAAACTCAGTGAACTAAATAGACTTCTGTATAGCACTTTTAAGGACAAGAAAAAATATCAAATCATATCCAAATATGATTGGGAGTGAGGCTGTAGGTGACCTTCTTGTGATAAAGACCAGTATCTAGTTAGCCTGATAACAAAGTAATTTTCATTTGAAAAGCAGCAACATTTGTATCATAACAAGGTCAACCTCAGCCTCACTTTTGTTCTAAGGCTTGGCAACTAAGCACACGACTGTGAAATGGACTATTCCCATATTTGAAGGGAATTTGTTGTACTCCCAACACCCCTGCATAGCAATTCAACAGCACCTTGCTATTAGTGATTACCACATGAAGGTGACATTAAAATTGCAAGAGTGAACTTGCATAATGTTGAGTAGTGCAATATTGTAAGTTTATGAAAAATACACACTGCTTCAGCAGCACAAAGAACATTAGTGTTCACAGGTATTGGGGGTTTTTTTTTAACCAATTCCCTCTGAAGCTGCTTCAAGCATATTTTTTTGTAAAGATTTCCCCACTTGTGTTTTAGAGAAGTTCCGCTCGTGCTGGTTCAATAATCTTGACCTCTATGCTTTATCCTTCACAGTCAACATTAGACCTTCTGTTCTACATTCTTCAAATTTATTTCCGCAGAGACAAAATATGGGCTGATTTAAACATAAAAAACCTTCGTAACATGCAGCTTTCTGAGAATTATTAACTGAACCTTTCAGATAATATGTATGAATATTTTGTACTGTATGTAGATGTCTTGGAAACTTGTTTTTTCAAAATTTTTTTTTTGTCAAGGTAGGAAGTGAACAAATGGCCTCAATTTAATGGAAGGAGCACTAGATTTACAAACAGAATGCAATGAGAAGTTATGGATAATAAGAGTTTGGTTGACAATTTCCTTTGTTTCATTTATGATTTATTTTTACAGGACTGTTTTGGATATTGCTCTAACATTTTCAAGGTAAGAATAACAACTTAGTTTTGAAATATTTCGTGATTTTGAAGTTGAGTTTGGTGACTCCAAAGCAAGTCAGCTGGTAATGTAAAAGTAGATAATCTCTAATATAATTGGTAACTGCAGGCTTCGTTTAACTGAAACCATTGTACTTCAGCTTCACCATATGGCAGATGATTTGCTAAATGGAATTGACAATAAAAAGGTCTCTGCATGCTCTAGTTTTAATTGATATATCAAAGGCCTTTCACAGTATTAAACGTGACATTCTACTACAGAACTACAGCAAGTTAGTATTGCCTCCCAAAGTCTTAATTGGTTTTTTAGCTACTTTGTTGGTTGCAGTCAAAGAGTATGTATCCAATATACTATCTCTGAGGCTCTTCCATTAATATAGGGGGTCCTACAGTAATCAACATTAATTATTGGGCCCAATCTTAGTTACTGTTTACATATTAGATGATCCCTGTCTGTCCCTTTACATTGCAAATCAGCCTGCTATGTCAATAACTCTGAACTGTACAAAAAGTCATGTCCTTTCCCCCGTCAGATACATCCATTGCTAATGGAAATCTTAAAAAGGACTTGGAAAACTTCACCATTGGGTGCTGTCAGTAATTAGTAAACCCTTCTGTTAAAAGAGTGTCTTTGTAAATGAGAAAAGTATGACAGTCTGAGTTTAAACCTTCATAAAAATCAATTCCATCTTGTTTTGAAAAATTCCCCCATACAATTGTTACATATTATAACTGATTCCTCTTGCACTAAAGTAAAGGAGCTTTTTCCCATCACACTAGAAAGAGGAAGAGTTTATTATAGCTTTTCCATCATTATCCATATTCCAGTAACAGGTGACAATTTTCCACTTTCCTCCTTCTGTTGGGTTTGCTTTTCTCTTGAATCCTGCTGAAGGTTTAACATCAATAGAAACAAATTTGAAATCTGGTTTTCTTTGTATACTTAATGTTTTTGGTCTTGTTCCCTCAATGACAACTTCTCTACCTTTTTTTAAGAGAAAGAAAAATATTTTGAATGAGTCCATTTCCAATCAAACAGTTTCTTTTGTATATTGTTGATCCTTCTGGAAGCCTCTTCACCTTTTCAGTTTATCCCTCTTTGAAGTTCATCTCTTGACTGTATTGGAAAGTGAAGTGGCATGCACCCAAAGTTCGATTGAATTGCTCAATGATTCCCTGATCCCTGTGAATGTTCACATTCCCCCTTCTTATCCTCTCATCATGCTTTGGCATTTCTCTTCTGTCATCACCCATGAATTCATGCCCAAGATCAACCTGAAGAACTTTTGGCCATCTCAATGGTCTAGGCTTATAGATTGTCTGAAAAGCCTTTGAGACCTCTGTCAGAAGAGTCTTGAGGAGAGAGGTTGAGCAGCCTTGAATCTGCTTGCAACATCAACAACTGTCGATGCTCATTGTTTGAGCAGTATAGATGGAGAATTGCTAATTTTCCTCATTTTGAAAGTGACTCAAACATCCTAGACAGATGAACAATGAACCATTGTGCTTTGTGACTTGTTGTGAGAGTAACCTGCTGATGTTTTTGATCAAGCAGTAATACTGATTTCATTCTCAAGTTCCTTCCGGTAGTTACAAATCTTTTTGAACCTTAAATCCTTGGCATCTGCTGGGAGAGAAGGATAAAGGCTCTTTGAGTCAGGGTGCCACTTGGACCACTTTGTGGTCCCTGGCTCAAAGTGCTTTGCTCACCAAGCAATCCAAGCAGTCCAGTGGTGGTGTGCTTGGGTGGCCCCCAGCTTGAAGTGCTTGGCAAAATATTTTCAGAAAGCAATTTTTTTGTCAAATTATTTCCAGCTCAAATCTCAAAGGAAGCCCATTGAAATTGATGATCTCCATATTCTCATCAGTCATGAAAATTTGCATAGATGTGATGTGATTCCTTGGTGATATTTTTTGGTGGGTTGGAATTTTAGAATGATAGTGAACCCATCAAAGGGTTGCCCAACAATGTCGAAGCATCCAAGAATGCTTGAGGGCTCTCCATTGAATATATATGTTTTCATTCTTATCCAAAAGATTGCAGTGGACAGGGTTGCTGGTGAATGATTTAAATCTTTTGGATAAGTTGATGGTTTGAAAATGTCATTTAATTCCAAGAAGATTAGCCAGATCATTGTCAAGAAGGGTATGCTTATTTTGAGGATTCTAGAGTTCCAAAACTCCTTTCAGAGTATTTATTTCAACCCTCACTCCTTCACTCCTCAATGTATCTTGAATAGCTTAGCAGAGGCTTTTGTGGGAATAATTACCTTCTGGAATTTTCTTTACAGTTGGATTGCCCTGAGAATCTAATACAGAGATTTCTCCAGTTTGCTTCCAATTCTACCAATAAGAACAGCTCACAAGCCTGATATGTTTATACTTTTCACTGCTGCTCTTGGGTGGTTCTTTGAAGTGAACCTTGTGATCATTTTACTCTGCAATAATTGTCAGAACAACCATTTTGATTATAAAAGCAATAAAAATGTTTAACTGTTTGAGTTTTGAACCTTTGGGGCGTACCCCTTTAGGGCCTGCCTCTTCGAGGCTTGCCAATCTATAGCCAGCCCCTTTGGGGCTTGTGTGGTTAAGATCAGATGAAGCAATTAAAATTGCAGATAAAGCAAGGACAAAAGCGTGGAATAATAAAAGATGGGCAAGAGCTGAAGTTTACTTAAATCGATCAGATGGAGTTCAGATGAGCATCTCAAGATCAGACAGAAGATATTGGGATGATATCATGAAGAAGGCAGCTGGAATTGGAGGTTTCCCCCTGAAACTCACTCTGAGGCTTCTGCCAGGCCCTTAAAGGGCTAGCCACATAGGAAAGAAGGAAGTGGGTGGAGGCTTGCCGCAGTTCCATTTTATGAGAATCCTGTCCGCTGCTTGAATGAAGAGATAAAGATCTTTGTTACCCCAAATCAATACTTCAATGTAAAATTCAGAGGAATATTCACAAAGCACACCTCAGGTACAGAATCAAAGAGATGGCTCACTGGGCCAAATATAAGCCACTGGCCTCAACAGCTCAACTTCACAGTATGGTGCACAACTACAGGTTGTGGAATATCTCATGAAGTTCTCAATAAGGTCCAGAACAGATCAAGGCATTTCTGATGTTTCACATCTACTTTGCAGTCAAAAAGATTCTTTTTGAGATGAGTGGAATTCAGAGTTAATCAGTTCTTCCAGATGACCCAATTTTCAGCCAGATAAATTATAACCATGACATGCCATTGTTCACATGCATATGCACAGAATTTGGAATTGCTTCAAGCACTGACTTCCACTTCAAAGAAGGTGACAATCATGGTCTCTGATCTGTTTTTCACTTGTCCATCATATGTTGGTCTTACCCTGGAAGAAAAAAGTTCAGTGATGAGGGTGGTCTACTCTTACAAGTACAGCAACCAAAAACAGTTTCTTCTTGCCTAAATAAACTCCTGGAGATAAATAAAATTAAATATCAGCTTTGTAACAAAACAATACATATACTTCTCCTAATTAATTGTTTGTTTTCTGTAAACTACAATTAGTATAAAGAAACTTCTGTGGGTACCAAACTTTGCTGCATGTATGCTATTCAGCCTCAATAAAGTTTACATTTACAAAATATAAACAAAGCATGAATTTCAAAATTTTTGGTTGTTGATCATCTTGTTTAGTGGCAATTAATTTTATGAGAAGACCATTTCTTGAATGTTATCTTCTGATTGGTATCCATATGTAGTTGTCACTTTGTTTGTACCTTTCATTTTGATTTCCTCCAGAGCATCATTTATTACTTGCTGGGGTGCTGCACAGGAGGATTTATTTTTCTTGTTGCCTATTGGCGTCCAGACTGGGCTCTCAAGTTCAAATGTTCTCCATGTCCTTTAAAAAAGGCTACTCAGGTGCTCCTAAAGGCAAGTACTACATTTTTTTGTCCAGTAGTTTTTAACCATTTGCTGCTGTTACATGTGCATGAACATGTAGCTAAATTTTAAAGGGGGTGAATCTTAAAAGACACTGAGGACCTGCATCCATGGGAGAGTTTTAGCAAGATAATTTGGAGTTATCCACTGAGTTGATAATGTAGATTGGCCATTGTAAAAAGTTTCCAAGGTGGCATTTTCAAGCGTAAACCATTTTTGAGAGGAAATGACAAAGGGGTAATGTCAACTCAGAGACTCTTTATGGTGGCCAATTACATTATCAACTCAGTTTCTAAAACCAAGCTATCTAGCTAAGTTAAAGTTAACTATATACCTGCACCTGTGCCTGCTGTGTTCCCTAAAAAAAAGAGGCTTCCTTTCTGACTGTACGCACCATGAATCCTATCAACCCTTTCATTTCCATTAGATTTTCTCTATACAATATCAAGCAGACAAATAACAAGAATAGAGAAAAATGTCAATAAGGGAATTATTAGTTGATCCAACACCAAATTCTCCAAACAAGACTTGTAAGAATTTGTTATCAACCAATTTCATTGTCCTTGATTCATTTCAGGTTATGACAATAAAAGAAAATAGGGAAGTAAAGGAAATAAAGTACCGGTATACAGAAACATTAATTAAACTTATGAACTCCAACAATAACAAAGTCATGTAGCTCTAGATTCTTTGTTAAATGTTTGTAATTATTGTGACTCCTTACTGCTTTGCAGACCTCTTATGGAGCTTGGTTTGTAGAAGAAATCCAAACTATCATTGTGGACAAAGAAAGGTACATGAACATATGCAGTTACAACCCAAAATTTGACAATCATTAGTTGTGTTAATGCATTGAAGTAACTTGACCAGTCCTAGAATTAGGAATAGTATATAGGAATAATATTTATTGTAAGCTGTGGGACTGTGTAACTGTGGAAATATTGGTTTTGGGATTAGTAATTTCTTGGTATACATGTAAGACTGCAAGAGAATCATTTTTATCCTTGCTGTTCATACCACTGGTTAAGGTGTCCTCAAACCAGCAGAAAAAAAACTTTCCCTCTTTTTCTTGTGGGAAATTACAATGCAGTGTTTTCTTCTTTGAACCTGGCTCCATTGTTTATGAAAGAAAATGAAGAATATTTTAGACTAAGATTTAGTTCATAACTTTTATGCATGTCTTTACTTATATCATTCAGCTAATTTTTCTATATAAATCCTTCATATTTACTCACATTTGTAACTCTTTCCTTTGCAAAAATAATTTTAAAAATAATTCAGTTTGGGTAGTATGCAGTTTCAGCAATAAGCAGCCAATTTATTGACATTGGCATGAAGCATTATTTACAGTTGTATGTCGATTAGGAATGACCATAGAACAGGCACAGTAACCATTCAAGTCTAATCATTTTTTCTTGGTAATGCTGATTTGGCAGCATTTTTACTTGTTATTGGGGAGGTGTTTGATCCTAGATGTAAAGTAACAGTTCTAGTATATTGGGATTCTATTATGCAAAAAATTTAGCTCACTTGATCATGGTAGATAATAACTTTTATGCAATTATTTTAAACAATGAACTTTATACACGTGTGTGCTGATATGGTTCTGTTTACAGATATGGGTTGCTTCTTTTTATCAGTAGAACATGTAGAACAGATTTTGTGCTTAATACGATACTTTTGAGATTGACAGAATTATAGATATTGAAAGAGTTCAAACTGTGCAACATTATTCTTGTTCATACAGGACTGATGTAGCATCTTAGCTTCCCCTAAGTGGACAGAAAAGTTTCCCATTATAGGAACTTCCAAGTGTTCTGTTAGTTTTGCCATTAATATGTTAAGTAAGAACCATGATCATAGCACATTTTTTCCCTCTCTGTTGGGGGTTTTTGTGGATAAATTTACATTTTTGTCTCTTTAGATCACATTCAAATTCCACTTGCACTGTAGAGTTTGATGAAGCTGACAATTGTAATCATTATGATGAAACTGAGGTCAGTAATTGTACATTTTAGGTACATTCATGGAAAAAAATGTTTGTATTGATTGTTATGAATATGAATAGGCGCTTTTAATGGTGTTATCACCTTAAAGAAAACGTAGAGTTAAACTTCTGTTGACTAGTTTGCAACTTGTTTAAGGGCTTATGCAAAAAATGCCCTCCATGCTAGCAGCATTCTTTATGTCTATTTTCAAGCTTCAGTTACTAAAGAAATCTTTTAGCCCACTGGCCATGAAAGAGTGAGGTGATGATAGTTTTTTGATAATTTTGTGTGGCACTCATTTTTTTACTTATCATCGGTCTACGCTATTTTGTTGTTGTTTTCAGAGACTTCTTGGTGTGGCAGATTCAGGAGGCTTGGTAAGTTTATTATAACTTCACAGATATATACATGCATGTGTACATAAATGCATAGTGCCAAATACTGGAGGCATCATCATCCACCTAAGTATGAGTTTGGCAGGGATGAATTTTAGAAAATGTTATGCAACTTTCTTGGTGACCTTTTGGGTGAATTTTTAAGTGACCCTTTTTACTACTTTTTCGGCAGCTTTTTTTTTTTTAACTCTTATTACTTGCAAGCCACCTTTTTTACAACTTTTTCTGGGACTTTTCAGGGACTTTTTTAGCAACTTTATTTATCAAATTTTTAGCAACCTTTTTGAACAACTATTTAAGGTAGCTGGGAAAATTTTTCTGAGACACCTACTGGCTTTATTCAGAATGCCCCAAAATTCTCACCTGCACCTCTTTGTGTTCACACCAATTTCACATATTTATTGACTTAAGGATCGATTAAGGTTAGAAATAGTGGATATGGCATGGCAATCACCTTTATTATACTAATGTTATGTGGAAATACTTTAAAACAGCTTTGCTGGCAGTTAATAGATTTTCTCACAACTTCATATTCTCTTTCTTGAGGTAAAGCCTTGCTGCTGAGTGAATTTTAAGAAATTAAATCAAGCCATTTCAAACTTATGATGCAGTTGAGTTAATTAACTCTTGTTGAAGTTAAAGGCCACAATGTCTACACTGTCTGGCATAAACCTTCAACCAATTTGGCAGCAAATGAAGTAGCTTGCACCAGTAATAGAGTAAATAGCCCTCTTGTCTGCCTTCATCACAATTTCATTCATGTCACTGATGCACAGTGCAAAAGGGGGTTGAAGTGGCAATTAACTCCATAACTTGTTGTGGCATCCTGAATTTCCCTCTTATCCAAAGCTTTTAACTCCTTCAGCTCCTTACTTCTTCCAACAAAATTGATGCATTGTCTCAAACAACTATATGTAGCCTTTAGCCGTGGTGGAAGGCCACTGAGGAGAAAGCATTTAAAAGGACTCAATTTTCAGGCTGAAGGCTACATATAGCTCAAGGTACACAGCATTAGTCCCTAGCATGCAAATAGGCACAGATATATTGTGGAACTCTGATTATCTGGACTCGTTGGGAATAGACGAAATAGTCCATATATTGGAGGGTCCGGATAATTGAGAATATGAATTTTAATGAGGAACAAAAACTGATTAATTAAGAAATCGACATTTAATGGTGAGAAAAAATGTTTACAAATTGTTCTGAAAAAAAAAAGTAGTCTACATATTCACTGTCTATTGTGAATACTTCCAAAATAGTTCAGTCTTTCTTCAAAGCTGCATAATCTGGATAGCATCAACATTGTTCTGTTTTTCTGTCTAAAATGAACACTTTTTAAAACATTCAACAGCTTCAGAGTTTGAAAAAATTTCCTCATCTTGACCTTCATCTTCCTCATTGCTGCTACTTTCATCTTCGAAAGAAAACTGTCCAACAATGCTATCTAAAATCTGCTCATTGGACAACTGTGGCAAAGTTGGTAGCTCATTTTCATTGAGTAACAAATTAAAGCAACTCTAAGCCAACCAGAACTTATTCCAAATGTTCTTCATTAGTTACAACGCATGTGAGTGCTGCTTTTGCTTTTTGAAAGCAAATCAAACTTGCCTTAACTTCACTTTTCAATGCTGTAGTTTTAAAATAGAATATGGCTTTGGATCTTGATCATGACTAATAAATATTCAAGACAAAATTGGGGCCACAGAAAAAGTGTGAATAATTGAGAAATCCAGATAATGGAGGTCCAACTATATATTTCAGTTGCATATTTCCTCTCCCTTGTCTAGTGGTAAATGGTCTACCAAAGTCAGCTGATTTTTTACCAAAGTTCTCTAGGACTTTTGAGTGTACAGTTCAGGTAAAGGTGCCTTAATCTGCTTTGCTGTGGTGGCTTTGTTCTTCAAGGCCGCATGCATTCCTTTTCCCACTTTTTTACTTTGAAAGTTCTGCCAGAACCTGAGTAGTCCCCACATGTAGGTTCTTGTCATGAGTATCCTTTGGTCATGATCCATTGACTGTGAGGGAAAATGATAGGATGGCAGGTCTCCCAGGGTAGACACTTGGTTAAGCCAAGCCTTCCATAGCAAGACAGAATCTCATCCAGAAGAACATTTATTTTATTTTCAACCTTTGTCCTCCACTGGTCAGGTACACTGGGACAATTCACAAACTCAGAAGACAGTGAGGATTGATGTCCAGTTTTGTTGGTGAGTGTTCACTGAAGAAACTCCACTAATGTGTTGGAGTTGCTTGTTGATGCACTTGGTGAATTTAAACAGTTTTGTTTTGAAGTTCACTCCTGCTCTGAAGTTCTCATGAAGCAACGGATTGTGGTGAGACTGACACCCAGCTACTTTATAGACCCACAGTTGGGTTGGTCACATATCTTGGACTTCACATGCCTTTGGCTAGGACTATAACTTTCTTCCTTGGCAAAGAAGATCCTCTCTTTTTTTCAATCATTCTTTAACAACACCAATTATTGTCTCAGAAGCTGTGGTCATAAAATTTACCTCTTTGGTCAATGAACTCCCTCAACATTTTAACATTCTCATGCTGGAGAGATGTAGAGTACTCTATTTCCAAGTTCTGCTTCCTGATTTACTTTGGTGAGGCTTACAACTATAGCATCCAGAAGCTCAGCAAATCTCTTTGAACCTTTTTTGTTTCCTTCTCTCAGCTGTTTTAAGGTATCTGTTTCTTCAAGATGAGTGCTCTATGTTTGTCTCCTTGTTTCCCCTTAACATGAGGACTCTAAAGCCATGCTTTACAAGACTGTCCAACCAGTTAGTATTGTCTGACCAAAAAAGAATTAATATTAATAACTAGTTCCAATGGTGTTACGAAGTAAAATGGTGTAAATCCTTAGAATGATCTAAATAGATGAAATGGTCCAAGTGGTGAAAAAAGATTGAACTAACTGAAATGGTTCCACTAGTTATAAAACTGGTCTAGCTAGATTAAATTTTCTATCTGATCAACATTGACGAACCAGTTAAAAAGGTTTAACTACAATAAGTAGTAAAAGTCTTGACACACTCTATTCCTTTTTTAATCTCTCTCATGTCTGGGCAAAACTTAATGGTTGCTGATCAAGTGCAAGCACAAAGATTGCCTAAACCATGACCCTTTATCCATTTCTGTGTTTCTAGTTACTAAGGGGGCAAAGGTTTAATTGGTCTAACAGGCAATAATGGTTCAACTGGGAAAGGTTCAGACCTTATGGCTCTTTGTGGTTGCCGGTGAGGTCAGGAGAAACCAGTTGAAGTTAACCTACATATCATTTTCATTATCAAATGAAACATACCAGACACTTTTTTTAGCAACTGAAGTTGCCCATCTTTTGAAGGACCTCCCTAGTGACTGTTAGAGTAAGACATTTTGATAAAAAAAACCAGGAACTGCCCCATTGTGTCAATCCTGCACTGCAATTGAAATTGTCCCTTAAAAAAGCAGCCAAGGGGACAATAATATTTGTCCCCTTCAAAATTTAGGGAAAAAACTCAAAAGGAAGCACACACGAAGAGTTTTAGTTCAATACAGAAACTGAAAATTATATTTTATCGCACATCTAAAGTTCATTCTAAAGTCACGTTACAGTCATGCTCTACTGTATATGTACATCTCATGCTCAACCAAGGGTGGTGAACGCACCTGGCAATCTTTACTGCACTTTTCACAAATGTGCAAACTCTATTGTGCAAAAGCCGCCTTCACAATTGCGTTTTTCACTGCCATCAATCATAATTACGATCAGAAGCAACGAACCTTGAAACACAGAAACACACAAAACGGATTGAAATCCACCAATCACAAATCACAAACCATGACCTTTTGAGCCCATTAAAGTTGTTTCCTAAAAGGGCTGTTAAAATGATTGATGGCAGCGAAAACACAATCATCCAAAATGTAGAATTGAATGGAACTTTGTTAAAGAGCTGGTTGTTAGAGAGCATTACCCTGTGGGCCACATTGCTGAACTATGGAAAATGCTCACTACCCATCATAGCAATGAGGTCCAAAATTTAATTAAGCTTTGTCAAGTCGCACTTGTATTGCCTACTAATACAGCTGGCTGTGAAAGAGTTTTTAGCACACAGAATCAAATTAAGAATGCTTTGAAAAACAGATTGAAAGCTGAGAGGCTGGATGTGCTCATGACCATTGACATTGGCCACCTTTCAGGGACTTTGACTTTTCTACAGCCCTTGATATTTGGGCTAGAACCAACAGAAGAATTAGTACATGTACATCCACCAGTAATTAAGAAAAGAATTGAAGTTTACAAGGGGATACTGGGATGAGGTTCTGCTGTGAAATGTTTTGAAGTATAAAGCATAGTCATTGATCTTCTGTTTGAATATGACAAGAATGGTCATGGGTTTTATGGCAAAATATGAAAAAACATTGGATTGTTTGGCCTGTCCATCACTTTTCTATATCCTTAGAAATACACTCTTAAAATGGTACAACTAGATAAAATGGTCCAACAGGCTAAGATGGTCTTACCAGGCTAAAAGGTCCCACCAATTAAAGTGGTCTAACCAAAAACAATTATGGAAATGGTAAAAATGGTCTCATCAGGTGAAATGTCTCAGCCAGTGGAATAGGTATAACTAGGTAAAATGATTATAGAAGGTAAAATGATCTAAACAGATAAACCCTTCAACTGGTTAAAATGCTTTAACATGAGAAAGTGATCAAAACTGGTTTTAATTGTGTAACCAGGGAAAATGGTTCAATCTGTTAAATGGCTTAGGGAGATAAAACAGTACAACTGTTAAAATGGTGGAACTAAATATAATTGTCTAACTGACTAAGATGGTCTAACCAAGAAAAAAAGTCCAACGGGTTAAAATGCTGTTACTAAAAAAATGGTCTAGCTAGATTAGATGGTCCAGCCACTTACATTCGCTAATTAGCTAATAAAAATGGTCTGCTAGGTTATGACATCCTAACCAGGTAAAAACATCCAGGTGGTTGAAATTGTCCAACTGCTTCAAATGGACAACTAAATTAAATTGTCCAACAGGCTAGGATGGTCTTACTAAGTTAAATTTTCCAACTGGTTAAAGTAGTTTAACTAGAAAGAATGGTGGAAATGGTTAAAATGATCTTAACAGATGAAATGTCCGAACCAGTTGAATTGGTCTGACTAAGTAAAATGACTGAATGGTGTAAATGGCTAAAATGGAATAACTAGATAAAATGTTGCAATTGGTTAAAATAGTCTAACTAGATAAATTGGTCCTCTTGGATAAATGGTCTAACTAGAGAAAATGATCCAACTGGTGAGGATGTCCTAGCAGAAGTCAACCAATAGAAGTGGCCTCTATTAGTTTAACAAAATCTTGTATTAAACAATACTTTTTTAACATATCATTATTCAAATATAGCATTTTCCAGGCCATAGAATCTTCAAATTGTCCCTTGGCGTTGCTTGAAGTCTGAGAGTTTGGTTGTCACTTTAAGGCCACAATTCGTATCACTTCAGAGAATGGTAGTGTCATTGACTCAGAAGCTTATTCTGTCACTTTTAAGACTTTGATATCCATTATTTTTCAAGCAAAATATTCTGCAGCATTTTTACTTGTCATTTTGAGTTCCAAAAGGTCTAATTCTATTTGAGAGGAATGGAAACCTGACTTGAAAATTTTGAGTCTAACCAGATGAAATAGCTTAATAAGCAGTCGAAGTCCAACCTATTTTAAAAGTGCTGTTACCAGACAAGAGGATGTACTGGTAACCTGTGAAAATGGTCTTACTAGTTTGAATGGTCTACCAAGGTAAAATGGTCAAACGGGTTAAAATTATCCACCAGATAAACTTGTTTAAATGGTCAAACAAGATAACAGGGTGCAACCAGATAAATGGTTAAATAAGATGGTCCAACTGGTTAGAATGGTGTACCTACTTGATAAAATAGTCCAACAGGTGTAAATGGTCTTACTGTGGAAATCCTCCAACCTGTTTAAATGGTCTAACTGGATAATGAGGGTAAGTCATTTCAATGGTCTAGCTAGGTAGAATAGTCCAACAGGTGAAAATGGGATAACCAGATGGAAATGTGAAAATGGTCTAACTAAAATAAAATGGTCTAAGCTCTGAAAATGGTTTACCTAGATAAAAAATGGTCCTACCAGCTAAATTGTTTTGACCAAAAAGTTAAATTGGTTTTGTCGTATAAAACGGTTTAAGTAGTCTTACTAGCTAACATGGTCCAGTCTGATGAAATAGGCTAGCAAGATAAAGTGATTCAACCAGCTAAAATGATCTTCCAAAGAAAAATGTTCTAACCTGTTAAAATGGTCTACCTAAATAAAACGGTCAAAGCAACAGTCTTATTACATAAAATAGACCAATAGGTAAAGTTTCACCAGATAAGAGAGTCCAACGAGCCAAAATGGTCTACCTGAATCTGCAGAAATTTTCTTTTATAAATCTTTGTGGCTTTTTACTAAGTTATATTGATGTTTTCTGTTGGTAGCCATCCAGTAGTAGTGATCGAACTTCTTCATGGTAGTGATCAGACTGTGGTTGGTAGTGATCAGACTGGTAGGAAAAGGGCATGGTAGCAACTGGACCATAATTCAAATGGTTTATTTAGGCAAAATGGTCGAACAGGTTGAAATGTTTAACAAGATAAAATCTTTCAACTTGTGTTAGAGCTTGAACAAGATAAAATGGTTGAATCTGTCAGAAAAGTCTAACTAGTTGATAAAGTCCAACCAGTTAAAATGGTTTAATTAGATAAAATGTTTCAACCGGTTAAAAAATGTTGAGTCAGTTACCAATTCTTTTGGAACATGTAAACAATTTCATAGATCTTGGTGTCACAATATCAAAGGTTCTCTCTTGGAGCAATGATATTAAAATAATTATGGATAAAGTGAGCAAAGTGCTTCATTACATCAAATTTTTGTTAGGAACACTAATGCAAATGTTTTTTCCTCACTGTACCTTTCCCCTGTATGTCCAATCTTGGAATACATGGTACCTGCCTGGTAGTTATCTTGCCATGGACACTCATCCCCTCAAGGGTATACAGGGAAAAGTGTGGAGAACAGCTTCTGTAGCACAAAGGGGAGATATTATGTGAAGACTGCTTAAATTCCCTACCCTTTTAGATTGTAAAACTTATTTTATCTTTAATTTAATGATACAAGATAGTCTTTGGCTATTACAAATTTGTGGAGTTTTTTAACTCACTACGGTAAAAGTCAACAAACTTTCAAATCTGTGCAACCCAATTGTTTTTCAGACTTTGTAAATATTCCTCTTTTAATGACTGTGAATGTATGAAATGTGTTAGCTGCAGTTTTCAAGAAATGATTATGAAAGTGATCTTCACAGTGATGATCACTACTAAGGTAGTAGGGTACAAAAGGCCTATTAGGCCTATTACTGTCTTGATGGATATTTCTAGGAATCCAGGTCCTACAAACGATTTATTTGATATCTGCTCTGGCGGTCAAAATCTGGTTCATGGCAGAAATTTGCATATTTCAAGTTTGACTCAAACAATAAGCCCATCAAATAATGGACTGGGAGCAAGGTTTGGAATTCCATCGCTGATTACAATGCAGCCAACTGTCACCTCTGGTTATAACAGGCCAGTATTTCACACGCTCACAGACATTCCTATTGATATATCACAGTGCTCTTCACTTCGACCTAACTTAATGAAACTCTGTAATTTGAATGCAAGATCTATCAAAAGCAAATCTGCGGACTTTCTGTGCTATGTTAAATCGTGTGCTGCAGATATTTTCGCAAGTACTGAAACCTGGTTGGTAGCAGTCGTGTAATTCAATATCTACCTTTTAAGGACAAAGCTACTCTTGCCAATAAGTTCGGTGAATTTTTCACCCAGAAGATTGTCACCATTCAGGGTAAGCTTGATGAAGTGTCAGCTGACGTGTCACCTAGTAATACTGACTCACAACCTGAAGTATCTTCGATTGAGCCAATGACCAGTTTTACTCTGCTCACTGAACATGAAGTACGGAAATTGATTGAGGCCATGCCCAAGAAGTCATGTGCACTTGATCCTATGCCAACTCCCCTTCTTGTCGCCTGTATTGACACTCTGCTCCCTGTTTTAACCAAGATCATTAATCTTTCACTGCAGAATGGTATATTTGCTGACCAGTGGAAATGTGCCTCGGTCCATCCCCTGTTGAAGAAGCTCGGACTGATTTTTCAGAATTTCAGACCAGTCAGTAATTTACAATATATTTCCAAACTTACAGAAAAGGCTGTGTTCATACAGACACATGGTCAGATGGTCACCCATAACATCTATCCAGAGCTGCAGTCGTCTTATTGTGAACACCATAGCACAGAGACGGCCTTGCTCAAAGTCATGAACGATGTTCTTCTCAAAATGAACTCGCAACACGTGACCCTGTTGATCCTTTTGGATCTTAGTGCGGCGTTTGACACGGTCGATCATTCCATCTTGTTGGATCGGCTGGCCAAGATTGTTGGCTTGCAAGGTAAAGCGCATGACTGGTTCTGCTCGTACTTGTCTGGTCGGAGTCAACGAGTCGAAATTGATGGATCAATGTCGAAGGAATTTTCTCTGGACTGCAGTGTTCCCAGGGTTCCTGCCTGGGTCCCCTGTTGTTCATTATTTACACCTCTTCCCTCTTCAGGATCATTGAACGTCACCTTCCTCAAGTCCACTCCTACGCCGATGACTCCCAACTCTACCTTAGCTTTAGACCGGGTGATGATGATGCCCAGGATGTCGCGCATCGCGCTATAGAAGCATGTATTTAGGACATTCGAAAGTGGATGATTGATGGGCGGCTGCTATTGAACAACACAAAGACTGAGTTCCTTGCTATCGGAACTCGTCAGCAGTTAAGCAAACTTTGCTCTTCTAGCATAGAAGTTGGCAACCAGAAGATTGATCGTTCTTCCAGTGTCAGGAACCTCAGCGTTATGTTAGATGAATCTCTCGAGATGAACAGCCATATTAACCAGATATACAAGACCTCCTTCGACCACATTCATAACGTTAGGCGTATATCGAAATACTTATCTAAGGAATGTAGACAATCATTAGTCCATGCTTACGTAACTTCAAGGCTGGATTATTGCAATAGTATATTATATGGGTTACCCAAGTACCAACTATCGAAATTACAATGCATACAGAATATGGCAGCCAGGCTTATAACGGACACAATGAAATTCGATCATATTAAACCGATACTTTACAACCTTCATTGGCTGCCAGTAAATTATCGTATTCAATTTAAGATCTTGATGATTACTTTTAAGGCGATTCATGGCATGGCTCCTAGTTATTTAAGTAATCTGATCTGTATCAGATCATTGTCTAGGTATTCATTACGCAATAATGATACAATATTTTTAGAACGCCCAAAAGGGGTTATGCGCACAACTCTGGGTGCCCACTCGTTTCATGCCTCTGCGCCTGCGCTGTGGAACAGCTTGCCTGCGCACATCCGCACGATTGATTCGCTAGCGCTATTTAAGAAATCTCTTAAGACCTATCTTTTTAAGCAAGCTTTTTAGATTAGCATTACAATCTTATCGGTATTTTGTATCTTATTTATTTACTTTTTATTCATTCATTCTTTCATTAGGTATTCATTTACTATTATTATTTTATTTTAGTACTGTTATTGTAATTATCTATTGTATATAGCATTTTTATTGTAATTATCTATTGTAATATTAGTTTTCTTGGATTGTAAAGCGCCTTTGATCATCCCATAAATGTTAAAGGGCGCTATATAAGTAAATAAATTATTATTATTATTATTATTATTATTAGTATCCATCTGAGCCAACAAGCCAACATGGAGCTGGTCATTATATTGATATGCATTAAACCTCACAAAGTGATGAATCAATGAATGACTATATGGAAATCATATATGTCAACTGTGCTTTTTAGGAAATTAATTTGAAGTGATTTTGGCCGTAATGAACATTACTTATTTTTAAGTTGTGGTGGAAATAAGGCCCAAAACAAAAATAACATATAGTTAGTTTGCAACTTTTGCAAAGTTTCCATGTGTTACAGCAACTGCTGATAAGAGATAGCTAGGTGCAGAATTGAAAAAAGACATTTAGTACTCAAAGTTTCATTCATTGGAATCACATGGTCAAAAGATAAAAAAAATGTTTAAATCTTGAATTATTATTTCAGGCTTCCTATAGAAAGTCTAGAAATTGTGGGTATTAATTATAGGATTACTTCTCATTAATTGTTTGTTATCCGAATTCATGCAGATATCACAGAGAAAATACTTTTGCCACAAGTACCTTAGATATGTATGGAATGAGGACCAAGGAAGATTTCATTTTTTGAGGTATTTATGATCAAATACATTTGCAGTAGGTAATCTGCCAGTACTTAAGGTTATTTGTTTGGAATCAAATCTTAGCAAAAGGGGGCCAAAATACATCATAGTAAAATGATAAGTCAATTTGTTATGTTATGTAAAATGGCACTCTTTTTCTTGCAATGCAACATTTATAAGTATTATGTGTAAGTTAAACTTTGTATTTAGTACAGCTCTACATGAACTTTTGCATGAGATATGCCATTAACATCATCGTCATCATTATCTGGCAGTAAATCATTGGAAGTTCAGTTATGTATAAAACATACATGCTTGTTTGCATCAATGTTTATTCATGGATTTAAGTTTTCCACTCAGGCACAAATTAAATTGGAATGTCCTTAATACATCTATGATGAAGAGGAGGTAACAAATCTGAGGTGCTTTAGTTACTTACAGTGTACATAGTTAAGAATTATTTTATTGATTACATTTTGGGGATTAGGGGCCTTGATAGTGGATCTCACCCTGGATTATTCTACCAATGTCCATCTGGATTATCATTAGATGAAGTTCAAATCAGGTAGGGGCAATGATCAACTTGTTCCTCTGCTTGTTCAAATCTGGTTCAATTTTACTTATGACACCAATACATTACTGCACTATATTACACCTCTACTTGTATCACATTGCTATTACTACAAACATCTCAAAGTAACTACCACAATTTCTTTCCTTCTTCCTTGACACCCCAATTGAACAGTTGAAACCCTATTCGCACTCAGAAATGCTCACATTTATAATGAACACTACCACAAAATCCTTGAATGTGATTGGACCGTACCACTAATAGGACAGTGTATCCATTGCTTGTAATTGGATTGTGTGATAGGAGAGTTTATGCATCTTGCCTGTATAATGGGACAGCAAGCATTTTGTTTGCTGTGAATTTCACCGAGTTAACTTTAGATTATGAAAATGTATTTACTGGTGGCCATTTTGTTTCCCCAATTATGTTCTAGTTTTGATTGACTGGTAATAGGACTTCATGTTTTCCAATTCCGTCTGTAATATATGACTGTGAATATATGAAAATCATATATGTATATATATATATATATATTCAAGTCCATCTGTAATCATACTTGTGATTACAGATGTTGTTACTCTCTGTGAGTCCATTAAGTCCTATCACAAGAATCTACAAAAAAATGTTTACAGACTACAAACTATTACTCACAGCACAGTAACTATAGATACATGGGTATGTGCACAATAATGATATAAATAAATAGTTAAATACAGAAAAAACTTTCTGTAGACAACTTATTAGAAAATATAATTTCTGATGTTTGAGTAACATGGGTACAAATTAGTCAGAAATTAATATTCTGATGGCATGTTGAAGAGGTTCCTGTGGCATCATGGAAGTTTCAAATTATTTAAGCATTTCACAGGAAAATTAGGTCACTCAAGGTCAGTCAGTCTTGAGAAAATCTCGTGTTGTGTATTTGCAGCAAAATAAATAAGTTAATCAACCTATTCCCTGTGGCTAACAACATTTGTCTTCATTGCAAAAGCCCACAGCTGAAATGAAAATGATGGAATTTGAACAAAATAAAGTGTAGGAGAACAATGCAAAATGTTTACTCAGTAACCACGCAGGAAGTCTGTACACTAGAGACAAATAATGGTCTCTTGCGTAAGCCGCAACCGTGATTAAAGCAAAAAGGTGTGGCTTAGACACAAGTCTTTAGGGTATACAGGTTTTATTAATGAAGTCATAAATACCTATTGAGATTCACCCTAGAGTTTCCATTTGTAAATATGGTCACACATCAAGAGGACTGTGCAATATCCTTTCTCCTCAAGTCATCAAATGCAATGATTATACCAGATAAGGGAATGGAATATTGGTTGATTTATGTGTAATATGTAGAATTTGTCCAACCACAGTGAACAGCTATTTATTTACCATGTTACAAGCATTCCCTCTCTACAAGGCTTATTTGCCCGGATTCAGTCAGGTTCGTAAAGGTTCTTAATGTTTCAGCTCATAGACCCCACTCTTAAAAACATTAAGACTTGGGGCTGTGGCTAGTGTGGCAAGCAAAAAAATCCCCTTAATGACTATCAAGTGAACCTCTCAAATTGCCCTTCCTTAAAAAAATAGCAGACCATGGGAATCCTTTCATCCTTTTGCAATTTTCTGAATAAGGCAATTTTTCTCAACATCTTGGCCCAGCATGGCCATTTGCAAGCGTTTTCTGTTCCATAAGATTTTAAAAGTCTAGTTCTTTTGCTTCATTAGATTGAAGTCACCACTCCTGTTGATATGAAAGTGTGGTATACATGTATATCTTTTGTCCAAGGCTGTGGTACCACTCTTAGATGATGCAATGAGCTGATGCAATAAGCTCCCTAACTCTTTCTATTAAATAGTTAGTATAGGTAATCACATGATTTTAAGTCCAATTTGGAATAAATAAGCACAAGTAAATTTTTTTTAAGACTTACAAAATTGCATGAGCCTGTAGGGTGAGTGCAATTTGTGGTCTTTGAAAAAATTAACAAGTACTTGTTAATTCCAAATTGCACGAGAAAAATCATGTGATTACATGTTAATAATATATATGGAAAAATAAGAGATGGCTTATCATAATTAAGCATAAGTAAAGCATGGGCATCAAGTGCAAAAATAATTTATTTAAACCATGCATTCAGTCAAAACAACCGCGTACGATCAAAACAATAATATGCAATGATATCTTCACATCTTTAAGGTGCAAAAAAGTTCAAAGTCCGGCTAAACAGTTCAAGGAATTGTCTGTGTCCGAATCACTTTCAGCGTGATAGAATCGTCGTTTCCGAGGTTCAACCATATTTGTTTTTAATTTTGGCATTTTGTGGACTTTGATTTTTCATTAGCCCTTGAAGAGTGGGCTATAAAGAACAGGAGAATTTTGAAATCGTGAAATACTGCTATTATAAATGTACATGTAAGATGTTAATTAACTAAGAAGGATCTGCAATGAAATGTGGAAGCAAGAACAAATATGATATTGTTAAAATGATAATGGCACAGCAGAGTTGTTGGTCTTGTTCTTTTACAAATAGTCACTTTCTTAATTATTTTAGTGGCCATGATCAGCTGCTGGTTGTAAGAGAATCATACAGTTAAGAGTTTACAGAGAAAGATAAAAAGAAGCATGCCACCTTACAATGTAACTTGTTGCTATTTCATTAAATGTTTAAAATTTTAGTTCAGTTTGAAATTTTCCCTATGCTTAAGCGACCCTCAGAAATGGAAAATGTCCCCCCAAAAATAATCTAAAGGGGCAAATTGACCCTAAATAGTCAAATCCTAGCTCAAACCCTGTAGCTCATTGCATTGGTTAAGTGAAAACATGACAAACATTTTACCCTGAGACATATTGTATGTTCAAGTCTAAGTATCCCTTGAATGAGTTGAAAACCTCAAGACAGTTAACAAATTATTTGTGGATATCAGATTGCCTTACTTCTTGTCATCCAGTAGAATCACCTCAATTCCTGTGTACATTCTTAACAGTAAAAATTCCAAACAAATTTATTCAAAATGGTTTTTAAACATGCAAAGAGATTATTTTCAGTGGACCGGGAAAACACCTGAAAATGAAATGGTCACATTATCCAAATGTGGTAGAGTCTCATTAGAAATGTATGGGCAATTTCTGGTGATTGCTGTACATCTTTCAGTGGAATAGCAAAATCATTTTGTCTCATGTCTAATTCTTGGAAATTCAAGCTTTCTTAATCTTTAATTTATTTTCATTTGGTGCTCCAAAATTTTTATTTTGAAGAAGAAAGTCTGTTGTTGTTTTTTTACAATGGTGTTTTGCTATTACAAGAATGTACACTGTATCTTATTTTAAAATGAAACTGAACTTTAAGATTAACATTTTCATTAGTGTCAGAGCTTACGACAGAAGAGATTAAAAATTTCTGGTGAGGTCATTTAATGGTTTGACATTCAAGTCTTTTGGCTTCTTGGATAAAGACTTGGAACAGTAGGCCTGTAAAATGCCAAATAGAGCATTGTGCCAAAAAGAGCAAGATGCATAAATTATGACTGTGAATGTAATCAGAACCATGCATGTGCTACTTAATATTTGTCACGCAAGACATGGCTCTGTCAAACTGCATTAGACTTAAGTTTCAATTTTCAGCAATCACCATGTGTTACTTTTGATTAAAAAAATTAACTGCGGCAGTAATATTAAAGCATCTAGTGATTGCAGATGACAATTTAGTAGAAATCCACCTTGGTAAGTTAACTGTGGCTATTTTTTGTTCCCTCTCCACACTTATTATGACAATATTCATCTCTTTAGTTGACTGTAATTACCTACTCTCATTTCTAAAATGTAATCGATTTCAGCTAAATGATATTTTAAATTCATGAATTATCTCAGTGACAGTAGGACCTTGGGTATGCGATTGCTGATTACCAAAAGAGCTACAAAAATATCTTCATACATTTTCTGCTACAAGACAGGACCCTTCCTAACTTGTTGCTGAAGTTACCAAATTCTTTACTAAGTCCCCATGTATAAAGATACAAAATAAAAGACAATAGTATGACTTCAACCATTTGAACTGTAACCTTAAAACTTGTGTAAAACATATGTCAAACAAGCTTCATAATTCCCAGCTTTCAGGTAGGCAGATGCACAACAGTGACAGTATTACAACATAACAGATTGTTATAAAATAAAGCTATATCTCCATATGAAATCCAGTGCAACACTGGAATTCATTCTTCCCAGACAGA